TTAATTACTACTAGCCGGGACTGAGACGGGGATGTACACATAGTTGTGTCCCCGTACGTAGTGCCAGGACGCACCTAAAATTTACCCATAGATAGCTAGAAATAAAAAAAATTGAAATGTCCCAAATATAACAGAATGAAGCATTTAAAAAAAAAATTATGTAAATTGGACCAATATTAGCGGAGATATTGCTATTTTAAATATGTTTTTTGCTGGAGTTAATTCCTATTGTTTTTATTATTCAAGAAGTGTGTCCCTTACAGTATAATTATATAGCATTTTAGGCCATGTTAAAATAATACTTGACAATTACTAACGATTATAATTTAGTATTTTAGTATATATATTTATATTAGATTTAATAATTTTTATCAACTTATAGAGCTGTACGTAATAAGACAATAGAATTTTATGCCATCTATTTCAATTAATATGCTCACAAATACAGTATTATTTAAAACTTACTTATCTTTATAGTTTAAAAACTGAAGAAAACAAACATGTTAACCAAAAAACTAGCGAAGGTTTCCTTTTATTATTGAAAATCGACAAAACATTGGTTGTACTAAAAAAACTTCTACTAAATCGATTCGCGCCCTTAAAAAGCCAATAACTTAGTCCAGAAATCATTTCTAGAGTGTTATCTGGAAGTAATTCGGTCAAATTGTTGCATACTTCCGCGAAATACCCAATTAATATATTGGATCCTATCTCCGTCGGGGCACTTTTTTCTATCGCGATGTTTGTATTGCCGATCTATAGCGCCCTCGATCGGTTTTGTATCTAGCTACCATAGAATAGATGTAACAGGCCTCAGGAGGCCTGGGAATTTTACATGCTATAGTAGCCACGGTTTCGGATGTGTACAGCGGTAAATGGCGGGGACTTAGCCGAGGATGTACATTAAAATTAAAAAAACTTTTTAAAAAATTAAAACTAAAGTTATAAGCTATAAGGCCTAGGCCATAGGCCTAATATATGATGAAAGCAAGGACCTGGTGGTTCCCAGACTGTAAAATAATAAGGCCTAGTTAGTAGGCCTCACCTTGGCCTACCGCGGGCCCATGCTGTAAATATTTTGCATATACCTCAAAAACAAGCTCAAATTTGCGTAGAAAATCGCTTGGAAAAAGAAGCTCAGAATACGCCTTTTTCATGAATCGGTAGACAAGTTAGTGAAGGGTGCATCACTTGTCGAATGTGCATCGTACGTATGCATGCCATGACGCTCTCCTTCGTTAAAAATTTTATTTTATTTTTTAAAATTTCATTCAAACTCTGCTCACAACATAGAATAGACAATAGTAAGCAAGGTCGAGGAAATCAGGTGAAAGTACCACCTGAAAAATGTGACTGACTATTGTGTGAAATTGACGCACAAGGAAATTATTTTGTGACGGACCATCTCTGAAAGTGACTGACTTTGACTGTACATATATGAAATACCCTGATCACGTTGTCTTGAACAGTATTTTGCGCCTGTAAGCGTGTTTTAAGTAGGACCTGCGTTCTACGATCCTCTCTCTCTCCCTCTGGGCTACATCTATCTATGCCTCATGATGTTTTTATTGTAGGACATGTCTCTCTATATATCAAATAAGCACTTAAACAGAGAAAACGCTTTATTTATTTAATTGTGTTTAGACGGGCTGTAGTTTGTAAAAATGAAATCAAAATTTTGACTTCAAAAATGATCATCCTCAAGCCACCATACAGTTGCTGCATTCTTTTCCCAGCTAGATCTGAACCGTCCATGCACAAACGAATGTAGGCCTATTGGGTGCCATGTGCCCTTGATTTGCATATTGATTCCTACAAGAATATCTCTTGATTTTATTATCAGCTATTTTTTCACAACCAAATATACATATTATAAGTAAAGTAAAGATTCCCTAGATGTGGTTATTTGTATTGTAATGTCATTTTGATCATGCTAATTAGTAAAAAAAATGACATCATTTTATACATCGGCCGCTTGAGGGCATTATTTGTTTACAGTACATCGTCATTTTGTAATTTGACGGATCTATTTTTCACAGTGTGACTGACCAAAATTGTTTTTTGATGATACCCTGCTTCAAAATATCATGGTAAATGACCCAAACATGATGCAACTTTCCCGGGGGTTCTTATAGTGTGTCATACAACTGACAGCTGCATAACCCAAGTCAGTGGTGCGTAACCAACCAAAATAAGATAAGCTGTCAGGCTAAACTCTAGACCTCATGTTATTCAAAAATTCATAACTCCTTAACAGAAAGTCGTATCACATTAATTTTTTTCTATAAAAATGTTTTTAAAGAGTATTCTACACCACTATATGATAAAAAAAAAATGAAAAATGTTTTTGACCTCTGAAATCAATGGAAAAAAAGAGCTGTGTAGATTTTCAAAAAAGGCCTTGACCTATCTCGTAATAACCATTGTACTACTGTATTATACACCGATATTTACGATTCTGCAAACCTATTTTCCATGTGATTTTCCGTGCAGATTTGAGCTAGTTTTAAATGTATTAAATGCGCAATTAAACTACTTTACAGTACTATTTCCTGGTTCATGAATTTTATTGTCGATTTGCCATTATTGCCATTATTATTCTTTTGGCTAGACCTAGGTGGCTACCATACGTGCAAATGTCAAATGCAATGGACTTCTTGATATAGGGCTAGTAGTACATTACTTTCAACCTATTATTTTTTTTTTCTTTAGTAATAAAAAACTTGTTAAAAGAAAATGCACGGACAGTAAAACTGTAGAGTATAAAGCGACAAATTGTCAGCTATGGCAGGCCCAGGAGGTCAAGGAACTTTGCAGAATGTCTTCAAGGACTTTCACTCCCTCTATGTTGAACGTCTTCGAAAACTAGATGATGCGAGCGCAAGTAGAGATGATTCTCAAAAGGTGATGTTTCTCCATAAATTTATGCTTCGTATCCATCTGATTCCTACTATATATTATGTTGGTTTTGAAGTGTACGCTTTATAATCATCATGTAATGCTTTATGAAAGAATAGACATATACTGGCTAGTATTCTTAGTAGGAAATTTAGTTGTAAATAACAGAATAATGAAAAAGTCAGATGCTATAAATATACATAGAACATAATAATAATAATAATAATAATAATAATAACTTTATTGTTTCTCTTTTGTAACAGAGGCCCAATCACTAAAGAGATGTGCAACAATATAAGAGTAATAATAACATATGTACATTAGTCTTGTTATAGATGTTTCTTACTTAACTAATACACTGTCTAATTAATATTTTATCAGTATTTTGAATTTTTACTTAACTAATAACGAATAGAAATTATAATACGCATCCCAAGAAATGAAATACACACCACCGCGCCCGACACCGTTCACGCCATTGCCAGGATTTCCTGACGATACGTGACCAATGCCGAAACTCGACGGTGCGCATTCCATCTCCCAGAGAATGCATTACTTTTTTTCTGAATAAAATAAAACTCATTAAAAGCTGTTAGAAAATCATGTTTAAAGTTTTTAAGATTGTGATAATATTTGTAAGTATTGTAGTATTCTTCTGCTTTGTAGAAGAAAGTGCGGATTTTACAGTCGTATGTGAACGATCTCAGCGAACAGAATGAAATGTTAGTAAAAACTGTGGAAGATCTGGAGAAAGAGGCTAACGATCGAGTGGCTTTATTGGAGTCTAAGTTGCATCGAACATCTAGTACAGTCAAGGTTAGCAGTTCACTTTATTAAGAGATATACAGTACTATAATAATGTTACCTTATAAAATGGAAAGAAAGGTAGTGATAAATAATGGTTTACGCTTCACCAAATAGCCCTCCATTTACTTATACTACAGCCCTGCCAATTTGGGTCATCAGCAGATATGTAACATTTATGTTTTGTAAGGACTATTACATATTCTTATTTCATGAATATATGAAGGACATCAATATAGCTATATCACAAAAATTTTAAAAAGTGCCAATTATTATCAATACTTAACTTAAGTATGAAATAATAATGAATGTTTGATTAATTCACAATATTTTATAAATAAAAGTAAGAATAAATATTATCCCATTAAGTTTGGATGATGACAATAATAGAAATATTATTAATGTATATGGAATATAAAATTCCAGTCCTAAAATGATAATTTTAATGTCAATATTATATAATGATGTATTCAATGTTGTAATAATATACTTAATAACAGTGTCATATTTATAACAACAACAATAATGAAAATATAATGTTTGACACTGTCCAAGCCAAATAAAAACATAATGAAATATAGATTTTTTTCTTCTAATTACTATAATGTATTCCAGGAATGAAAATAACAGTGCTATGAACACATTCTTTTAAAATGAAAGTGAAAAATCAATATGATCTCATTAACTTTGTGACATTAAATGTTGATACATTTGGTTTTGATATGACGTATAGGAATACATCAGTAGGTCGACAAACCTTGAACAGCAAATGAGAGGTCATATTATACAAAAGGGAAACTTACAGCAAGCTTTAGAAGTAAGCTATTCATTTTCCTTTTTTTTGTCTTTCTTAAAATGTTTTATTTTCTTTTGCAAAAACACATTACAGAAATAATAGAAAAAAATGTAACAAAAAATAAATGAAAGCACTCAATCAATTATACTTTCAATCTCAGTAAAGGTTCCCATTTGTTAGCATGAATGTGATACTTATTGTTATTCTTAACAATATTTTTTCTCAGTTGTTTCTGTAGAATATATCCATTTTTTAAAAACCCATAAAACTAAGAAGAATAGTTTCTTTAATTTTAAAATTATAAATGTATCTCTTAACCAAAAGCAAAATCATACAAAGAAATTTGCATATTTATATTAAAAAGCCACTCCTCAATTTAGAAGCCTTTTTGCAAGCCCACATCAAAATTTCCACTGTTTCCTGTTCCTTTTAACAAAGTGAGCATTTGTTATTTTCAACCAGGCCAATTGTATGCAAAAGGTCATTTGTGGAAATATTTTTATGAAGAAATATAAATTGCAAGCAATTCTTTATTGTTTGTAAATAAAATATTCTTTATAAGTCAAAAAATATATATATATCCACAATACAATCCATGAAATTTTACTCCATGCATCATAAATGTAGAGTACAGCACAATATATGAAGGTAAATTAAAAAATTTGACAATGCAAGTGTAACCTTTAACAATACAGCATAACCATTACAGAATTAAATACAATTTCTGTTGTTATAAACAAACAATAATACAGACTGGAGATCGAATAAACAAATAAGTTAATTTCTAATTTGCTTTCTTATGATTTATTGCTGTGATTTGCAATAATTTTGTGATGTACACTAAGGCATAAATTATTTTACAATTTTGGAAGCAACAAAGGAAAAATTGAAGAAAAAAAAAATGTATGTATATGTTAATATTGCTGATATACAAGAATGAATATTTATTGTAACTTTTTTGCAAATGACAAACATGGCTGGATTTTGTAATTTTTACACAGTTTAAAATAGTCAAATAAGACTTAATGACTTAATTGCATGACATTTACTTACTGTAAAAACATCACAAGACACATCATGTCCATACAACATTTTTACACAAAAATATGATAAAATACAAAGGAAAATATAAACAACTAAAAAAAACATTTAAAAAAATGAGCAACCTGACATTTTTTATCAGATATCTGTCAGACTTAAGGCCCTGTCCAGAATATCAAATTTTGTTTGATATATAGTCATGATGTGATGTCATCATGACTATATTTAGGCATGTCACATGTTTTTTTTTTTGATAGTTTGGACTGGGCTTCACAATGTTTGATCAGACTTTGTCAAAGTGGAAGAATTGTCCGGCTTCCAACGGATGTGAAACAACATCTGATCATTTAGACTAGGTATTAAAGGCTCTACTCTATACAATACACAGAGTTGACACCAAACAATGTATGCTGAATTGAATATCCTTAATTCCATATACTCTTTGGAGTTGGCCCTTAAGAAAAATTGCTAATAGGCCTCTCACTGTAATGAAATCCACTCATTGATGAGAAGAGAAAATTTGAGAGGATTTTCAAGGATACATTTAATTGAGTTTAATAATAATAATAAGTTTATTGTAAAGGCAGCAATTACTTCTCCAAGCAGAGGATTCTATGAATTAACTACTCAGCATTAACAGTAATTGATTTTTTATGAAACATGTAAGTGCAATGGATCTTTGCCATGTGATTGGTGGATAAATATCACATGATTTTGGGTATTTACATCATTTAATCGACAAATACAGTAATCTATTTTTGATTTGCATCATTCTTAATGAAATGTAATTTCCATATATTTTTGTTACATTTATTTTGTTCCACTAACACATTTGTTGTTAAAATATTATGTTTTAATTGAAAAAAGTAGGATGTTCCATTTAGAAGAAAGGTAGACCTGACTTTTTTTTTTCATATTCTTAAATTGAACAGTCCATTTTTTAACTTCATAAAAATATTCATTTTAACATTGATTATGTAAACATTTCTTATTTTTAGGACCTGGAGCATCGTTTTGAGCGTTTATCAGAAGAGGAAGAGAATTCACGCTGCGAGAATAATGACCTGAACCATGATATCAATATACTGGTTGGCATAATTGCTAATGCACGTGCAACAGGCAGATGGGAAGTAAGCTTATATGCTTTTTAAGATAGAAATGTGTACACATATATACCAAAGAAAATGTTATTGTTTTTTCTGTTCCATAGATAATTGTTATAATTAAATTTTAAAAAAGCACTTCCCATAGCTATGGAAATGTTTTTATTTTAATATTGCATGATTTTGTGCAGGTGGGGGAGGAGGGGCTGGTTCATTATTGACCTTTGATTCATGTTCTGAGGTTTATACAATTAGGGAGCTTTCGATTGCACGATGACGGTAGGACGTAGAACATAACGATGTCGCATAAAGTCACCTGCGCATGCGAGAATGTTGAGTTCTCGCAGTTGAGTTGAATCTAGGACACAATTTGGCCAAATCTACGTAAGCCGCCGCTCGCCAAATCGGAATCAAAATCGAATTTGGCAAATTATTTTTGCCAGGAATTCGCAAAAAATCTAATGAAATAAAGTCATATTCGTGTTCACATTTTTTCGTTATATGTGACAAAAAGCACATGGTTGTTTTGTTTAGATGGGAGGACTGGACTTCCGGATTCTGACGCCAGATCAGGTGCTCGGTCCTGAGGGAAAAGAGGTCCGACAATCAGACGACATCCTGCAGGATCACATCACCGAGTTAAAATCCCAGCTATCACATCGGGACAAGATGATAGACGAACTTCAGGCAGAGCTTAAGACATCACAGAATGATCAGAGGTCATCAGCCACGGAGGTAAATGTGTTATTTTATGTCATTTTTAACTTACAGTTAAAAACAAGGTAATATGAAAAAAAAAATACAGATTGATAGTAATGATATATGCTGTCTGTGAAAAAATCTGGTAACATAAACAATCAACTGACACAGCAATGTTTTACATGGACATTGTTATTGCAGCCGTCCCTTGTTAATTTAAGTAAAGATCATCATAATTCCTAGTAAACTATACCAAATTGATTGAAATTAAACTTGAACATCTACGGCATGGTTAGTTATGCATGATAATCTTCGACCTGAGAACTGCGGTGCGATTTTAGGGCTAGCTAAGGTTTATGAAGAAGGATCACTTAAATTTCAAAGCTAGGATAAATAAATAACACTATTTTGAACAATCGTTTATCCTTTCCTATCCGTTTATTTCTCACCTTAACAGGGGGTGGTTGTTTTCGCAACCATAACATTATCTTTTCCTATACTATCGCACTGTAATGTTTTTCATGTATACCTAAGTTAAGTCTATAAACAAACATCGTCGAATCCCTCTATTGCAAGTTTAAATAATTTTTCAAGTTCCAATAAGATACCAGGTCAGAGCAAGTTCTTGCTTATTTACATACTCTACTACAAAAATTCTGAAATTGGCTGATTGATGGTCAATGGGTCTGTGCAAAGATTATAGGAGAATTATTAAAACAATCATAGATCAAACAAAATACAGTAGATGATATTGTTAAAGGTTAAGGTTTAAAGGGTAAATAAGTGATGTTAAGTAAGAACTTAAATTTTTCACTAGATCGTACAGAAGGATTTTGTACTGGGGTCAACCAAATCAACCCTGTCCACCATTCATGACCGTGAGCAAATACGTATGGTCGATGGCACAAGTAAGGATATCATCATCATGAAATTGAGAACGGAGCTGATGAAATGCGAGCAACAACTGCGTGATGTACAATCTGAGGTGAGTAGTTCGAGAGTCCATTGGACAGATGTTTGTTAAGCCCTGTCCAAACTATCAAATTCTATTTGACAAATACATGTGACATGCATAAATATGGTCAGATGACATCACATCATGACCATATATAGGCACATCATGACCATATATAGGCACATCATGACTATATTGTAGGCACATCATGACCATATATAGGCACATCATGACCATACATGGGCAGACAACAGTGTTTCATACTGTCGATAGAGCTTTTATTTAGACTACTAGAATATCATATAATTTTAGCAATGACGTCTTAATAAACAAGTCTGTCAATTAGAATGTCATATGTCAACTTTTACTTTGTGAAGCTAGTCCACATGTTAATGAACTTTTGTCCATTTCTAATCTGCAAATTGGGTACATTTACTAATATGCATCTAACCGCCCAACTTCATTCTGCAGATAAAGACTATTATTTTATTATATCACTTACCATGCCCAATTTTAGTCTGCACGTCAATGCTACTTAATATGCTCCATTTTGCTGTGTACACCAAGTCCGTCTGCTATTGCATAACAAACCGTGCCCATTTTTATTTTGCACACCAATGCCATTTATTTCTTTGTGCCCACTAATTGGTCATATATTCTTGTACCTGAGGCATGTTTCCTATTGGAATACTGTACAACCTCTCTTAGTTTCAAGAGGAGTGTAATCATTACCCAACTTAATAAGCTAAATCCTAAAACATGGATAATTAATAAAAATATTTATCAAGGCCTGACTACAGTACTGCCATCTAAGAGTATGCTTATTTTGTTTTATTTATTTATTGAGTGGCGCACACACATGCGCAAAGGTTTGTCAATAATGATCATATCCCTGCCCTACTTGCAGGTGACAGTCCCTTTCACAAGACAACCATACACACACGATGCTTTACACAAACTAAATCTCAATATGAAATTTAGGGAGTGGAGTTGTTTTGGTTGTGAAAAAAAAATCCTGCAACACTGACAGGAATTGAACCCAGGACTCTGGGATTGGAAGGCAGGCATCTTAACCATCAAGTTATTCAACTCCACTACCGAAGCTGTTGAACTCCACTACAAGGCCTTGTGTTTCTTGAAATCTAAACAAAATGTTTACATTTGAATAATGCATTTCAAGGAATGAATATCATTCATAATTGCTGTCATGGCTTAGAAATTAATTGCAAGAAATCCATTTCATTACATTACCATTTCAATTAGGTTGCTAGCCGAGATGCAAACCTAGATAAGTTACAAGGGCTTGTTAATAGGCTGCAAACGGAAATGGAAATCGTAAGCTCTAAGGTAAGAATTATATGTACAATGGGTCCTTGTAAAGCTGATTACTGGCTGATTTTGCTTTATTCCAGTGGATGCGATCTACAACCTCTGAATTTGCCTAGTAACGATGAATTCGTCGAGAAAATGGTAATATTTTATGAGAAATAGTCTGTATTTCTCAATTTTTTTATTCTTTTGCGTAAAACTAAAATTTATGCCAATATTTTTCCATGATTTATAATAATTGGAGTAATGTAAATGCATATTTTCTAAAAAAAGTCAGTTTTTAGTGAAATTTTGCCGGGAATGGGGCTTTAAAATATAAACATTCTTTAAAGATATAATGTACGTAATTTAGGAACATGCTGAAGTTTGCAAATTAAGTGGAATTCAGTTTATTCTAATTTACAAACTTTTTAGCACTTACAGGTTCTAGTAGTATGGAACAAGCCATTATTACTACAAAATTTTCCATTTACTACCAAAAAGCAATTTTGCAATAGAATGGATCATTCCAAATTGAGAATTATGTAGTTGGTGTTAATAGACATATGTAGGTTACAATATGAAAACATGATGTAATAATAATAATAATCTATATTTATATAAGTGAAGTGACATATTTTGTTTCACTATGTAGAGTAAATGCATTATGTTGCCATGGCAATTTAATTGTCCCTGAGTGAGTGATCTAATTACAAGCCAGCTGATTGACTAATGCATGATTGCTCTCACCTCTGAGTGGACTGATTTGAGTGTAGATGAAAGCATCTGATTGGCTAATGCATGCTATTCCTCATCACATGAGTACAATGATTGAGTATAGATCAGAGCATCTCATTGGCTAATGCATATTATTCCTCTCAACTTTGAGTGGACTGATTTTAGTATAGATGGAAGCATCTGATTGGCTAATACATCTGGTAATCTCTTTTTCTTTGAAGTGTGCTAATCAAGTAGAGACCATTCAGATACTCAAGGAGTCACAGCAGCAAGGTGTTGATAAGGTATGTTTTGCTTGACACATATGTTACTAATTAGTGTCACTAGCATATTTTTAATAGCCTAGTCTTTATATTTTGTTAATTACCAATTAGTCTTTTTCACATGTGTCCAGTTATTTATCATCTAGGACTAGATATTAATCCATTCATATAAGCTTTTCAGTGACAGATCTAGGAATTTGAAATAGAGGGGGCCCAGGGAGGGACTTTACCAATGTAGAGTCTAGACCACCTAGTAAGAAAATTTATCATTATGACACCACTAGAAATGGCACTCTCAGACATAATTAGGTTAAAATTTTCCTCTTTTCTCCATTTAAAAAAAAATAATTTTGAAAAATTTGGTGGGGAGGATGTCTCGAGCCCCCTTTTCTTGGATCTGCCACTGCTTTCACTCTTTAGAATCGGTGGTGGTGTCCATTAGTGGTTGGGGAGAGGTGGATGGCATATAATTTTGATTGTTGATTCACCCTTGAAATTCCTAGGAAATGGGGATAATTGAAATGAAATTATTTTGCATTTAATATTGTACTTTAAGCTGAAATTCTAAAAATCATTTAAACAACAAATGATGCTGTATGTTTCATTCTTGTGTAATTTAGATAATTGTGTTAGATGGTCAAGTGAAAGAATATGAATCTCAGTTGGAAATTTCAAGAACCACTGCAAACAGAAGTACATCTGATGTAAGTCTGTTCCTCCATTAATCATTGTTATCATCATGATCAAAATCACAACTATTATCATAATCATTGGTATTAGACCAAATATAAATATTATTGGGCACTCAAAAATTTGATTATATAATTTGATACCTTCATCATGGATTTTAACCCAGCTTTTGTCACCTGCCAAAATGAATTGGATTAGTATGGTTGCTAGTGATCTATGGAATTAAGCCCAGGCCTGTAGTATAACCAAAAAAATTTCTCTACATCTTCATTGTTGCATTCATCAACATTGTCAGCAATAGTATCATCAAAATCATCATCATTGGTTTCCATAATATCATCATAATCAAACTATCATCTACACGATCATTAATGTCTTCATCCTCTTCATTGTAATCATCATCACCATCTTCATCATCATCATCATCATCATCTTTAACTCATCCTCTTCATCATCATCATCATCATCATCAGTAATATTTTTTTTTCAGTATCAACAACCTCATCATCTTTACAATTTTAATCAGTAGTTATCATAACTACTATCTTCATCCTCATTGCCAATTTTCAAATGTAATCTCATTGCCATTATTATTAGTGACTGCCATGCTAATACTCACTGTTGTAATTACCTATTTAGGAGTCCCCAGGGATAAAGGTTTTGTCATACTCGTATATATTTATCCAAATTACTGTGGCCTAAAATCTTTTCAAAAGCATATCGTTTTATAATTAGAGCTTATGTATGCTACGGAATATAACAGCAGAAATTATGTATGTTTTTGCTTGCAGATTACACATTTAGAACGAAGGATCAAAACATTGGAGACAGAATTGAAACAGTCGCAAGACCAGAGAAGAAGGGCTATTGAAGAGGTGAATTATGGAATTATTTATATAATATATTTTTATACTATTTATATTTAAAGTATTTTTAATAGTTTTTATACAAATTTGTAAGAAATAAATCTCTCAAAAGAACTTCACAAAAACAATTGTAAGACTAAAAATCAGAATTAGCAAAAATTGTCCATATTGAAATATTTATGATTCCCAAAGCTTAGATGTTAAATGTTTTTTCTCACAAGTTTTAAAAATCTGTTCATCTGTCTGTGACAATAGTTGTCACTATACCATCAAATAGAGGCTATCCACAGTCTAACAGCCAGCCTATCATACAAATAATTTCAGGATGATTGTTTTTTACCGAATTCAGCAGGACTAATCCATGTCACTCAATTGCAACCTAGATTCTTTTTAACTGTCATTTTTTACAGGCTATTCAAGATGTTTTCTCCTACACATAATATTTTTATAATTTTTCAATTCATTTTTGAGTGGTCTAAAAACATTGATAGGTAGGTAATATGTATGAGGAGTGTTACCTAGCAACTAGATGCACAAATCATTTAAATGCATTTTATAATTTCCCATAATGAGAAAGTATTGCATCTAATAATCAATTGTATTGTTGTCGGTGTTGATGGTCTGTGATGATACATTACAGTTAAAGCAAGTTCCCAGGCTACATGCTCAAATGATGACGTTAATAAGCTTGCATTCATCCAGTTATACATGTTAAAATGTAAATATCCAGGCAGCTATCCCATTAATTGGCTGCAATGTTCATACCAGAGGATCATTAGGCCAAAAAAAAAAATTGTGTTGGGTAGGTCGGTAGGAAAAATTTTTTATTTATTTATTTTTTTTTAACAACCAAATATGTTTTTAAGCCTAAAAAGTAGAAAATACACAAATAATACAACAATTTTGGATTCGCATCGCGTACCATCCAGCAAAATAGGTTAGCCATGGCCCCCTAACCTCGCTAAGGCTATTCCAGCCTTATTTGCTCATAAAAAAAAATATTCTTTGTTGTCAAATAATAAATAAATAAATAAAATACCAACCCTTAATTTCGTAAAATTTGGGTTGGTTGGGTGTAGCCAACACAATAATTTTTTTTTTTTGGCCTTATTTAATTAGTTTAAGTAGAGCAATATTTTATGAACCCATTGTGACTATAATGATATTTGCCATATTCAAAGTTATGTGTGATATTTTATTTCTACTATCTTTAATTTTATATTTTATTATGTTACAGTTCTCCTGAATTTGTTTGGTACAGTGTTTTGAGTTATTTTTGTTAACACTTACCTGAGAAAACTTGATTATTTTATCTTCACTACAACACCCCTAGAAAATAATAGAACCATCTGTCCCATATATTCATGCTAATCACCATATGTACATCCTCATTCTTTAGTTCTCTTTTTTTTAATCATTAGATTGGACATTTACAGAGTAGACTAACTGACAGCCAGATGTCTTCACAAGATCACCATCAGATCCTAAAAATGGAGGTAATTCAAAAATCCAATCTACCTATAAATTGATCTCCTGATGAAGTGCACTGTGTACACAAAAACTAGTGTATTGTCCATAATTAATTAGTCTTCGAAGTACTAAATGTCCAGAGTTTTCCTATAAATTGATTAATTTTTCGTTTGCATATGAAAGGTTTTGTTCACTGTTCTGATTGAAAAATTAGAATTATAAGAATTTAGCACAAACATGGTACATATATTGTGTCTTCCATTAAACTATAAATACAGGAGGACATTGTTATAGGCCTGTTTTATCATTGATTGTTCAGGTCTTGTTTCTTTGTGACCCTGTTCTTAACTTATATAATCATTCATCCTTTGTATTTTTATTTTCCGCCCAGCTGTCCAGACGGGACGAGACTATTCAGAAGTTGCGTAAAGAAGTTTTAAATCTTCAGGAACATAATGATAAGATGCAACAAGAGGTGAGCATGGCATTATAAAGACGAAACTGATAAAGAGTTTAGTTCTCGCTCACCTTTGATCTCAGCATCAGTAAAAATGCATTAACCATTGGTTGAGAAACAGCAGGTCATATCTGATTTTATCTAATACATATCCTTACTTTTACAAATACACAATAAGAATAATAATAATTATAAAAATAACATATGTTTTGATGTAACATGTTTCTGTTCATGTTGTTTTGTGATCATTACCAAAGACCGATACCTATAGTTTTACTTTTATTGTGATTTGCAAGTATATAGTTCTAAGATGTTAAGCTAAGTTTTATTGTGTATATTTAGATTTAGGTTAAAGAATTTTATTAGTTTAAAAACACAGCCTTGCTGAAAAACAACTTTCTAATTTCTGTGAAGTCAAGTTTTACTGTGAATAAAGAATAAAGTTATTATTATTTTTAAAAAAAGGTTAGCTTTTGAATTCATAAATAATCAAGATATTTTCTAACTATTTGCAGATTGATAAAACTGAAAGGAAGGCAAAGCAGAGCCAGGGATCACTGCAGGAACTGACATCAAAAGTAAATTATATTAATAACTCAAATTGATTGGTTTTAAACATAAACATATAGATCATTTTTAAAGGTTTTGCCTTTTTTGACATTATAGACACCCCAGTTGGCACACAGGGTCTAGTTGCCTGATAAATTTTAATCAGCATTGCACTGTATTCCATACTGAATAATGATCAATAATTTAAATATACCAAGATAAGTAGAAATATCACAACCAAGAGGAGAAGGTAGAAAATGAAATCTTGTGGTTTATTCTAATGTCCAAAAATGGACTGTTATATGTACACAATGATCGTACCTATATCTATATAAAATTTATTGTATTTATTATTTGGAAAATTATTAGAGAATGCTAAAGGAGACATGAAATAACATCATTACCATAGGTATTTATTCTTTACTAATTGATATTAATATTGCAATGTTTATCGGTTTTTATATTTATAATGTTTTATGTCATTTTACGCATAGGTTAACTTATTTTATATCGTATCTTTGTATTGTATTTTAGTATGTCATTGTTTTTATTGTGAACCTTGGAAAGCAAATTTCATTTACTTTGTATATGACAATAAATTGAACTTGAACTTGAACCATTTGTCTTAGAGTGCAGAAAAAGATATCAAATTAAATCAGCTGGAAAAAGACCTTCAAAATATGAAGGTCAAGTATGAAGCCACGATGAAGGAGCTCAGCTCAAGTGAACAAGCTCTTCAGATGGCTCAGAACGAGGTTCAAGAGCTTCGGCACAACGAACCACAATTGACATCGCATGTACGACAGCTGGAACAGGCTGTTGAGTCCTTGAAGGCAGAGAATAGAGACGAACGAGTGGCGCTGACAGCTGAGGTTAGTCTTCTTTGGAATTTTTTTTTTATTGTATTTATTAATTTTTATTTATTTATTTAAAACATATACAGGATACAATTTTTGACATGATGTAACAGTCTGTTTTGAAAAATGATCCTGTTTAAGACCATAATCATGAAATAAACATTTTTGTTTTATTATGTAGCAGAAAGAATTTAGACAGTTAATGTTCTCTGAGACAAATGCTATAAAGAACAAGAAAGTTAATAATTATTGTTTTATTTTAATTAGTTACCTTTACTCAGAATAATTTTTTAAAATTCATAAACTGAAATATACAATAAAACAATAAATAAATAGGAGTGATGTTTTCCCTACCTGACATGTTATTGTACTGAATCCCAAATTTGTGCAAAAAAAAAAAAAATTGCCAGTGCTTTGGGTAGGAATCGAACCCACAGCCTTAAGATAACTTGAGCTAGCGTGGTGTCATAACCGCTAGACCACTGAGCTTGCACTTACTGACTAGTGTTGAATCCAATCCCCAAGTATCAAGCCAATAAAAAGGTTTATCAATACAGTAAATTATATATATTAATCATCTAGTTTCATAACATTTATATAAAACACTTTCTTTCTTGTAAACCAATAATAAATTTAGCTTACTTGCTAAGTTTCAGCTGCCTATTTCGACCAGCAACGATTATTATTTTTATTATCAGATTATAATTTTTGTATATATACTGTTCAGTAAAGGCATTGAATGTTTATTTTTCAGGTTTCCCTTCAATTAAAGACCACTTCACTTTTCTGCAATCCTAGTTACTATGGTCCCAGTTTAGTACCTTTCTTTTATCATTAGTTCTTCCCTTCTAATTAAAGACAAAAGGCTTACAGGCAGACCCAACAATTTTCTGATTTAATTACATAGAGTGTGTTATTGATATTATCATAATTTTTACTATTTACAGCATCATCATTTATCTTCCTAATTCTAATATTATACATTTCGTAATTAACAATATACTGAAAGAAATTACACAGAAGAAAACGTTGTAATAACACTGACTGTGTTTATTTTAAATTTGCATGATTGTTTGCGTGGTTTAACATTGGATCTGCATTTATGGTAAGATAAAGAACGTTAAAAATAACCCCATATATCTGTTCGATTACTTGCTAACAATAACATCTTAACAGCATATGTTTGCTTAATCTGTAGTGTATATTTGCTTAAAAAGCTAATAAAAATTTTTTATTTTTTTTTCACAATTTTAAGTTTGCTGAATATGTGATGCAAGCAGTGATTGTAAAATACTTCTTAGTAATATTCTTAACGCTCTTTTTTTAAAGTTGATTTAATTTGTTTTTTTGTTTTATTTTTGGTCAGATTCACTAATAATGTGTTGTTTCTTGGTTTTTCCTAGATCCCTGTAACATACATTAGGAAATTATCTCTTTTGAGACCTAACTTGCCATTTTTAATGCACCGTAGAGGGTGTCTCTAGGGTAATCTTAATGAGGATTAGGGCCATCCCAATAAAGTTTTCAGAGTGTCAGTCTAAATTTACAATTGACATATCAGCACAGGGATAGTCATACATGTTTGTCCAACAAACCCATATACTGTCACACAAACACACATGTAAAAAGGTAAAGATTTTTTAATTGCTACTTTCACTTGTATTCGCCACAAAGACTTTGTGGTATTTACATTATGACATCCATATTTGTGAATGTTCCCTGGATCGATTAGTGGTGGAGACTGATCTGTTGTTTTCCTTCTTGGTCGGATTCCTCTAATGTTACATTTAACAAATAACATTTATTAACTGCATTAACCTACCTATTGTCTCTGAGTTTTTTTCATATACCTATTAACATAATATAATATTGCGAACCAACTTGCCATCGTTTGCTTTGCAAAAATGTGCCAGGTTATTGTCCCGGTTGAGGTTGATTCGTTGTTTTGTTCTGTTTTTTTCATTCATGGTCAGTTTACTCCTCTGTTTTGTTTTGCTAACAATGTAAATTTGCAATATCCAGCTATTTGCTTCCAAGATATTTAAAGCGCATATTACCGTTTTATGTATTAGTATTTTGAGGTCAAACTTGCCATAGCTAAACCGTATACATGGCTGCCAGCTGTATCTACTGTAAGTAAGTAAATTTTCAGCAATTCATGTTTTCAAGATTTTATTATTGAACTGAACAATTGATTATTAATTATTGATTAATATTTTGTTCAGGTTGCTCAGAGGCACGATGAGGTTGTTAAATTAAGGGGTGAGCTCACAGTAACAGAGAAGAAACTACGCGAGTGTTACAGCCAGGTAGAGTACCGAGGCAGTGTAATACAGCAGCTGAGAGTGGATATCAAGCAAATCAATGAGCAGGTAACATTCATTTCAACCAATCATATTTAGTGTATCTTACAGTTTGTGCAGTCCTTTCTAAGTTACATAATGTTGCATCTTAGGCTGCAATTTATAATTCCTTGGTGTGGAGCAAGGGTACAGTACAACATGGATAAAATGGACACAGCAAAATAGACTGAGTGGGAATCACAACATAGTAAGGAAGGTGGATGTTTTTAAAATACTTTGATAAAAAAAACAAAAAACTTTTTTTTCTTTTCAGTGTGAGGCATCAAAACAAAAGGAACAAGATCTTCAGAACACTGTAACTCTGCATGAAGAGAAAGTAAGAAAAAAATAATTTATACATTTATCCTTTTTTAAGATCATTCCATTGTTATCAAATGCCTCATACAAACATGCTCATTGGCTTAAATTATCTCGCTTTGATAGGAACGTGACCTGAAGGGTCAGCTTGATGAGACACAGCGATACAGCAGCCATGCATCCGCACAGTTGAAAGCAGACTTGACAGAGAAAGATGGTGCTATACAAAATCTAAAGAAAGATGTGATGTCACTGCAGCAAAAACATTCTTACATCCAAGCACAAGTATGTTTGTTCAGTCTCATTTCATTTCATTCATCTATTTAATCATTCTCCATTAAAAAACTGAAGAAACTTTACTGCTGTGTTGACCATGATTTTTTGAGAGTCTTTCTTGTTTCTGGTCACTATGATGTTTTTCTTATTTTCTTTCTTCTAGCCCCTTGCTGTGGGTTCCTTCTGCAGTACTATAGCATTGTTAGAGACAAATACCATAACAAAATTAAAATAAATTAACTATTCAAAGTCTGAAAAAAAGTAAATTTTATTTTTAGAAAGAGTTATTGTGATTCATGTATAAGTTTTTGTTTTTGAAAAATATGTACTTAATTCTATATATATATTTAATATTTTTTAATCAGGCAATATATAACTGACTTTTATTTCTTCCATATATTTTGATAACACAAAAAGGCCACCTTATAATTAATGTTGGAAAATGTTTTAAAACATTATGGATAACTATATTAACAATCTAAGTATATGTTTCAATAGATCCAAAAACGTGATGAGACAATTGAGAAGCTGCAGCAGCAGCAGCGAGATGGACATGGTGAAGTCGGTAGAAGAGAGCAGGCAATCCAGAAGCTTGAAGTAGAACTGATGACATCACAAGAACAGCATCAGAGGACTACAGAAGAGGTAACTTACCTGCATCTGCTATTTTTTAACTTCTGCTTTTTATTGGGATTTTAGCAATCATATTTTTTTTCAAAAAACCCTTATAATTCAGTGTTTAAGTTCCTTGACTTGACTAGTGGAGTTGGATGTTTTTGTAAAAACAATGACTGTAGTGTTAATCCGACCACTTCTTGCCCATGGTAATAGTTTTAGCTGTATTTGTCCTATGATGAACTGGTTGGAGACTGATAATGCTTTGTAACCAAATCTTTGGGCTTGGAGAGGGGTTGGGGAGGGTGTGGTGGGTGAAAAAATGGAATTGTTCCGTGTTTCAACCAAGGACCTTGGAATTGGAAAGAAAGAAGCTTATATTCAACCAAGTGACAGAATAATGTATAATATTTAAAATAATAAACCAATCACAATGGCGAAATGCTCAGGATGCTTTTAATTCTTAACATATATAAGAGAATGAATATGGATTTTCAAAAGGACTTTTAAACATGGGACTGATAACTTCATGTTTGACGAAATTCTTTTACAGCTGTCCAGAATATTGGACAAGTATTCGCGAATAGAAAGCGAGTTGGAGAAAGTACAGAAGAGCTACAAAGAAGTTGTTGAGGAAAACGGTCGTCTATCAGCCCGTGTCCAGGCCATGCACCTGACGGCATCCAGCGAAAAGGACCTGTTGTCATCGGAACTTAGTAAGCGGGAGGAGATCCTGCGAGGGACACAGGTTGAACTGGCAGCACTAAGGAATCAACTTGCTGTAACAGAAGATAAACTTACACACAGGGTAGGTTTTAAATCTTGTGACATGTCTAAATATGGTCATGATGACATCACATTGTGACCAAATATAGGCACATCATGACTATATATGGACATACAACATTTGATGTTGTGTGGACAAAGCATGACACTAAGTACAATTGACAGCTGACCTATTATGAGAGGCTCATAATTTCCAATATTTTCACAATTGTAGTTCCTTTAAAAAAAAAGTTGAAAAATTTCCCTGTTGTTTAGGGAGAATTTCCTCAATTGCAGATATCAATCAATGAGGTTGAATAGCTTAGTGGTTAAGATGCTTGCCTTCTAATCTCGGGGCCCTGGGTTCAATTCCTGTGACTTTTTCTAAGAGTAAAAGCAACCCCACTCCCTAAGCCTCATAGAGAGACTTCGCTGATAATAGTATGATGCTGCTTTACTTCATTTATTTAAGAGGGCCCCTGAATATCAGCCGACCTTCTAGGATTCTCTGGAAGGGTCACCCTTTATAAATATGGTGAAAAAAGGTAAAATCTGTATCGATAAAAATATCAATAAGATTATTTAGTATCATCATTTTTAATTAATAATATACTTGTAGGCTAAAGAAATTGATCATCTACAACATCAGAACAGGAATCTGTCTGATGAGGCCCAGCAAAGTAAAGGTAACATGACCGCAATGAAAAAGGAACTACAAGAACTGGAGAATAAGTATTACAGTAGCAAGGAAGAGGTAATGTACATTATGTGTTCCTCCTTCATTCATTTTTAATTCTAAGTATCTTTTTTCTCCTCTTTATTTATATATTTATAAGTATTGTTTGAGATTTAATTTTCACCATTTCAAAAAAAATAAATTAACCTTCTTGAAGGCTACCAATCAAAATACAGGCTTTAGAAGTTTTTCTTTTAAATGTTAAGTTGATGTGATTTATATAATATTTTCTTTGTTTAATGCTTTTGACATTTTAGGTCGCCAGGCTTGAGGATACATGCAATACATTGAATAGGGAGCTGCAGGAAGCTCAAGCTAGGGACGATGAACTACACCATGAGGTAAGATCCCCCTAATATACATTCCATCCCCCTTCATCCATATATTCATCTCATCTCCTTCCCGCCTTGTCTGCTTTTATATATTTCAGACACTTTCTTGTCTGACCACCCTGACATCCATCTTAGCGATTGTCCCACCTGAGCCCTCTTACATTTATCTCCCTTCCTGTCTAGACCCCTTAAGTTTATCTTTCCCCTTAAATTTGTCCTTAATTAACCTCTTTACTATTCAACTTTCACCTGTAAAACATTCTTAAATCTACCCTCATCACTTCTTTGTAAACATTAATTACCCCTTCTCCACACCAGTTCCCTCCCTATCACAGTACTAGGATTCACAATGCTCAACTAATGTTTTCTGTAATTATACGATAACAAAATATATGTTTTTCTCAATGCATCATTAAGAATTGTGCTGTAAATTACATGCATACAAGCAGAATCTTTTGATGTTTAAACGTATATGCAAAACCCTGGTATCAGAGGAAAATTCACTCATGTGCAGCAGTGGTAGGATAGTGGCTAGGGATGCTCATGAGCAAAATGCATATTCATTACATTTCCTCCTGCCTTGTGTGTACAGTTCCAACTGAAAAATGAAGCTTCTTATGACTTAAAAAGAGAGATCTCTGAACAGAAGCAGCAGCTGAAAGATCTCAAGTCCAAGGTGAGTACTCACCTTGCTGTTGCTGCATGCTTCTTCCATCGTTGTCTTCATTAAACTATTTTAATTAAATCTTCTCACCTTTTTCTGTGTGTTAATAGGATATATACTTTATAAGGCAAAATAAATAACATGGTATGATATGACACCTGTGATTTTTGATTGTATCCAATATATTCATGTTATTTCTCATATTTTTATTTTGCTCTTTTGCTTTCTCTATGTGCTTCATTTAACATAATTTTTAGAACTCAATTTTACATTGTTACATATTTTATGCACCTTAAAGGAATAAGTTATAGACTGTTTATTAAATTATAAAAATGAAAATCAATTTATAAAATTTTGTACTAACATTGATGATTATTGTTGGACTTAATTGCCACATATTTTTGGGACCCTCCTTTTGTTTTTTAATAGGAATGACCTCGAGTTTCTCACTTAAACTGTATTTTAGAAAAATATTGCTTAAATAAATTATAACATTCTTGGTAAGTTAATACATATTATTGTAAGATTTTGCAACTGTGATGATAGTTGTTATCTCCTTCCTAGTAACTTACTTTCCTTTCCTAAAGTAATCTTTGTTTACTTTTGAACTTAGATCGGTGAGCGCGACAGTGTCATGGAAAAATTAAATAAGGAAAACGATAAACTCAAGTCGCGGAATCAACATCGTTCGTCTGAGGTAGGTCACATGGAATCTTTATGCTATTCGCCTCAGCTTTTAAGACAAATTTAAAATCTTTCATGCGTAGCAGCATCATTGTATCTGAGCTATTAATAACTTGATTATGTTTTATTTTTAGATACAACAACAATCAGAAATGCTGAAGAAACTCGAGCAATCCCTGACTAAAGCACAGATAGATATGCAAGATATGAGAAGGAAAAACGAAGAAGAGGTTGGTGAAATTTATATTTTGATTTCCTGGACTATTTTCATTGTTTCTTTAAATAGAACCCCCTTGAAAATAATAGAATTGTCCATGCCACTGCATTGCATGTCCTTGCTAACTGCCACAGATGCATCCTCATTCCCTTATGGCAATTTTACTGGAAGTGTTTCACTCATAAACAGCCAATGCCATTGCTGACTTGTTTAATTTTAATTGAAATGAAGCTATTCAATTCTGCTTAGCATTCATGCTTGTGAAAATGGAAACATCCTGTACTGAACTTAAATATATTTATATTTTTAGAATATTTTTATCAATAATGCTCGCAGTTGATAAAATACCTGAATAATATTTCTTTGTTTATCTCCATGTTTTGAATGTTTTTCTTCCTCTCATGCTTACAATGATGTTCTCTGATAATAATTCCTGTAAAAATAACACATTAAATGTTATACCATGCTGTTGTGTTTGGACATATCATTGATTATTACATCAAATTGTTCTGTTTTCCATTTTACCTGAAATTAAATTATTACACTGATTGTCTCATCTTGTCGTTCATGCAACCATTCTGATCAAAACACATCACTTTCATGTAAACACAATCACAACGTCACTGCTTGTTTTATATCCTTATATTATTTTCTCCTTACTTTGTTAAATAATTTTTTTTTAAACCTAAGCATTCTATTATTATAAGACTGACTGAACACTTTAATAAGACATCAAAAGATTTATATAATTTAAGAAATCATATTCCACTTTCTCTATGTTTCTCATCTGAAGTCTAATTATACAAATAAATATAAATGCTAATAAATAAAGATTTAAAAAATTCATTATAATTATAAAAATATGATGATTATTTTTAGTATTATTTTATGTAAAGCAACACATATTTTAATATTATTTATTACTACTATTTATTATTGTATGTTGTTATTATTATTATTATTATTATTATTATTATTATTATTACTGTTCTTTAATTTTATTAAAGAGGGCCCCTGAATATCAGTTAACCTACTGGGCTAAACCGGAAGGGTTACCCTCTTTAAAGATGGTTGAAATAAAAAATTTAAAAAATACTATCATTTCCCACAAGCAATATTTTTGTGTTTGCAATATGTCTGTGTTGTTTATGTGCCCACTTATTAGTGGCTGATAGTGTATAAATAAATATAATAAATATATGAAATAGATAAAAGAAAGATGTAAAGAGACTGATTTTTTTGAACATGAATCTTTAACTAATTCTTGGATTGAGAGAAATGTATTCCTTTTTACATTTTTGTTTTATTGTACAAAACTCAAATCCAGTGTGTGTTCAGTAATGTGTGTTGAGATCTTGAGAACTGCTATGATCACACCACTTCCCATTTTGTGGACACCAATATTTTCCTTCATTCAAATCTGCTTTATTTTCTGTTGCTGACTTATTTTCTGTTGCCGACTTATTTTTATTCATTCTTGACACTTCTTAATGCCATTGTATGATGACAAGAAAGCTGTAAAAAAATTAAAACAAGCCAGGCATTAACTCATTATCCACCTTTACTCATCTGTTGTTTTGTGGTGTCTTGTGCATACGTCAGTAATTATGTATAGGTGTGTGTGTAGGTATTTATGTGTGTATATGTGTGTATGTACACCTTTTCTTGGAGAGTGCAACACATGATATCTATTAAATTGAACTATCAGAATTTGTTTTTATGGATTTGCTACAACTACAAATTTATTAATCTCAGGATAGACAAATTTCGCCTAATCATACACACATTTGAGGCTTGCCATCCCAAAACTAGCGTATTGTCACTAATTGTTAAACTGTAATTAGCATAAAAAGAATGGGGCAGTATTGTATACCTTAGCACAGAGAAGCCACAATACTTTCACTTATAACTTTGACAATAATAAGTTGATTCTAGTAAATAACCCATCATTTAAAGGCTTACAGTATAATGACGATAAAATTAATATGTGAGGTCTCACCACGAAATGAGACGCATCGCTGGTGAAATCATATTGAGATATTCACCAAAATAGGTCAAAGGCAACATTTTTACAAAATGTTGATTTTAATGTTTTTAAATAACTTGATACTTATATTTTATAATTGTGTACTTTTTAAGTGAATTTTCTTACTAAAAAAGTGTTCTCTTCGCATATTCTGTAATTCTAGTCTTATTATTTGTACAGATTAGTTTATCTTTGAGGCCGATTTTCTCAAAACCTGGTTCTCATACACCTAAACTTTAAATGCTAACATCTCTGGATCTATTTATCCTAGGAAAGCCATTCAAAGACCAAATTAAAGCTTATAATGTGATCTACCAAAATGTAATATTAACTCATTTTTTGATTTTTTTAACGATGAGACTCATTTTGTAGTGAGACCTCACATATATTAAAAAGTCAATTTTCATGTTTTTGTCAGTGATGCTTGTTTTGTCATGGCAAGCCCATTTATACATTTCAGCATTTGTATAGTATTATTTTGTGAAGATCAGAACAAAATTTAATTAAATAGACTGTAGTAATAAAATAATTTTAACAACAGACAATTTAAACGTGGGAAAATAAACAGATAAAACAATACAAAAACCCTAATATAACCACACAGTTTCCCTGCAATTGAATGACTAGCATTTTAACATTTGTTACCGAAAGGAGTGTTAATTACTACGTATTTGGTTATTATTAATCAACAGCAATCTTTACTACAGTAAGTATACAGCAAATTTATTCATAATTATAACAATATATTGCCCATTATTATAAATTTTTTGCATATGTATTTATGATTTAGATTTTACAATCTCTTCTTTGTGTCATCGGTTGTAGATTTCCCACAGAGATAGTGGTATCACCCAACTGCGAGAAGAGCTAATGGAGTCCCAACAACAGTATACCGCATGCTATGATGAAGTAAGTTCTTTGAGGCCTTGACTTTTTGGAGACTTGTTGTAGATCAATAATTATATTTATGATAATGATAGTAAAATTAAATAAATATATTTTGATATGATTTATTACATTCTGTTTTAGTTAATGAAACTTGAGGATGTTATAGAAACATTGAAAGTTGAGAATTCTAAATTGAGCCAGATGTCGAGACAGGACAGTGAGCGAGGATCACAGCTAAAGGAGAGACTTCAAACCGCTGAGCTTAACTTAGTAATTAGCCAAGAAAAACACCGCACATGTCAACAAGAGGTTGCCCAACGTGATCAGACGATCTTAAGGTTGTCAAGCGAGTTGGACACAGCACAACAGCAATACCATGGTACTGCTGATGAGGTAATTAATCCTGGAAGATACAGGGTTCCCTGTAATTAACAACCCCTCCATTTTTATTAAAGACCACTTTTCTGTGGTCCCAAACTAATAAATGTCTTTTATCCTTAATATTCTAAGAGATCAAAGTTATACACCATGGAAACCCTGGTCCCAAAAATGGTCTTAATTGGAGAGAGACTTACCATGTTTGTTGGTCTAATATACACTTAAGTGTCTATATTGTAAATACAAATACTTACCTAGATGAACCAAGTTTTCCCTATAGGAACTTACCCCTCCCTTTTGCTAATTTCTAAGCTGGTCTCTGGGTAAACAAATGTTAATACATAACACCTTTTTTATCACAATTGTATTGTTGTGGTGGTAAATATTTATTCTTTTTAATCGTATTTTCTCTTCAGTGTTCAAACCTGAAACAGCAGTTGGTGCAAATTCAGATGCAATTAAGCGATTCCGAGAATGATCAGAAACTGATCCAAGAGCTTGCTGATGAACGGCACAGAAAGGTATGTTGTCAGATATAATTTGCGTGCGTGCATAAATATTTTCTATGTTTATCACATGATCCTTGGAACACAGTGATCTATACTTATTGTTTAATTTTTTATTACGAATCTTTTTGGATATTGCAAATGTAAATAGATGAATGTAAATGTAATGTTTCATATACCGGAATAATAGCCAATTGATGGCTTTTGGAGAAAATAAATATTGAATTGAAAATAAAAATTGAATTGATCTAAGTAAGTTTTAATATTAAGTGTGTATATAGTGTGATACAGTTGCTTAGGTTCTGAGTTATATGATCTTAAAGTAATTCAAATTGCTCTTGAAGTGTTAAAATTGCCCCAGTGAAATTTGTTAAAAAGAGGCAGAAAATTTGAAACAAACTTTCGTGTATTCTTTCACCCTTAAGTATGATTGTTCACTTAAATATTGTCTCTAACCTCTTACCGGTAGATCTTGTCATGTGAACGATCCATCTTTCGTCTGCAAGAAGATCTGAAACAGCTGCAGCAGGAGAACCAGAATCATATCAGCAAGATGCAAGAGATTGAAAGACTTCTGGAGAGTGAGAAGCAGCTCCGAGCTGGTGACGTCGAGCAGTCTCGGCGGGAAGTAGATGATCTACGCAGTCAGCTCGTCGATGTCAATACAGAGCTCGATGAGAAAGAACGCATGCAGCTGAAGTTGAAAGACGAGAACGACTTACTGAAAGAAGAAACAGAAGAATCACAGCAGTTGGTTCATATGCTGCGACAACAGGTAATCTATCTGACACATGACTGTGCATCCAATCAGAGGAGACGACATGCTGCATCACAAAAATCAGGATAATTTTGATTTTGTAATAATGTCTAACATAAATTAAGGCGTTATCATGAATAAAGTCGTACTGTAGAAAATGGTATTTAATTGTAATGGAGCTATTTAAAGTTCAAATTACAAAAAAAGATCTGCCCATATTTGGATGTAATATAACATTACCATGACCATATATGGGCACATCACACAAATTTGTCACATACAATTTGATGGTGTGGATATAGTTTTACAATAGAATACATTTTCAATTAAGATGTGGTGTTTATTGATTCCTCCTCATTTTTAGCTCCGATGAGGAGCTCTAGAAACACGTGGTTGATTGATTAATAGATTTTTTTTTAGCTCTTCTCTATTATACTGTCCTCATGAGGCTGATTGATTAATAGTTGATTGATTAATAGATCTTTTTTAGCTCTACTGCCTCTATTATACTGCCCTCATGAGGAGCTCTAGAAACACTTGGCTGATTGATTAATAGTTGATAGATCTTTTTAGTTTTACTGCCTCTATTATACTGCCCTCATTGGAGATTTCAAGATTACAAGAACTTGTTTACTTATAGTTGTGATTTCTTAATTTTTAGGTCTCTGATACAAAGATTAATATTCAGGAGCAGGAGGATACCCAGGCCAGGGCCACATCAACTATTGAAGGCTTGAAGGAAGAAGTCAAGCTTACAAAACAGGAGCTAGAGAAATACAAGACTGAGCATGCTCGGTATAAGGAACGAGCAGAGCAGCTAAACATTCAGTTGCAACGAGTTGAATCAAACTCTGCTAAAACGATACAGAATCTTGAACAGCAGGTGCTTACAATCTCAGCTAAGGTGCGTTCTCACAAAACTTTCAATATCATGTTTTTGTAATTGGTCTATTATTGGTATGGACATTTATAATGCACCTTTGCTTGCGGTTGTAAAGAGCATGATTAATGATTCTGTATTTGTAACTGTTGGACACTTTTAATTGTTGAATGTTGCATTTAAATTGATTATTTTTAATACCTAGTAAATGAAACTAAGGGGATATACAGGGTTGTAGCTGTAGAAACTAAAGGTGGGTGATAGACATTTTAATTGTGGGTAGGTGATAAAATTAATAAACTCTAAATAATAAGAGTGAATTTTAATGATGGAAAAGTGGGTTAATATGGGTGGGTAGTGGCTAGTTGCAAAACTTTAAGGCTGGGTTGCCCTGCCAATTAGGACTATTGTAGTTTTTTAAGTAAATAAATTTAGGTAAATTTTTTGGTTTAGGCTATGATTTAATGGCCAGAAAATGCAAACAATATAATCCTCCAGTCCTAGCTAGTCTAGATACAGTATGTCTTTTCTAGGGCTCACAGAAAGTCCAGCCTAGAACCTAGGCCTGACAAGTAAAAATAAGTATAGTTTTCATTCCGAAGCTTTGAAGTAAAAGGGTGGGCTAGGAGTAGTGCTATCGGGTTGGCTTATAAACCCAAAGAAGTACGGTGTTCATCATCTGCTTAACCATAAATGCTTAAATAAGCGCCACACCAAACCAATTTTATTAGCTAAGTGACGCGGCGCTTAATCAAGAGTATATATTATCTTGTGTGTAAAGAAACACTTTGAGAAACAGGATTTTAAATACAATATATACAGTGTTAAAATAAATAAAAAATTTATAAGCGCTGCGGCATTTATTCAAACATTTACAGTAGCTCTAGATTTTTACATTTTAATTTCACAGGTGCATGCAAGAGATGAGTCACTGCAGAGGTTGCAGCATCAGTATGCTACCAATGAACATCAGTTAGAGGAGGAAATAAACAAAAACAAACAATGTGAACAACTCATAGCCTCCCTTACAGATGAAATCAAGCTAAGTCATCAAGATTTGGAAAGTAAACGTGAAGAAGTTCTCAGTTCAGAGTCTACCATTGCTAACATAAAGAGAGCCCTGTTGAAAAGCCAACAAGAGGTGATTGACTGTGGCTCACGTTATATAACATCTAAATATAGTGCACCCTCCAATTCGAGACCCCTCTAATTCCGAGGACCCCTCTAATTCGAGACCCCTCTAATTCCGAGGACCCCTCTAATTCGAGATTTTTCAAAGAACCAAATGACAGTCTTTTTTTAACACACCGGTAAGTGGACACCAAGCTTTGAGACCACCCCATATTCTCAGGTTCCAAAGTGGTCTCGAATTGGTGGATGAACTGTATGTAGTTTTGGTTTTAAAAATTCCAGTCCATATTTAATTGTTGTTTTAATATTACTAATAATAGATACAAAAACAATAATTAAATTGATATTAGTGTACTGGTTTGTGTGTTATGTTTTTAAGGATTTTTTTTTCATTCAGTGCTGATATTATTATTTGAACTTTGACAGTTTTGAATTTATACTGTATTTTATTTCTTAAAATGGATGAAATAGTAATTAAAAATAACGCTTGCGTTTTCTTGTTCAATAAGTGTGGCCATTATGAAGATAATGTGAGGAAATTACAAACAGAATTGCAGTCATACCAGGATAGTCACCAGCATACAAAACAAGAGGTTAGTTTCCTCCAAATATGATTCTTTAATTCATAATTAGATTTATCTTTTCATAGTATTTCAATCCCAGCTAGTTCAATTAGTAGCTGCAGTTATAAAATGCCATCCCAAGAGAAAAAAAAAACAATGACTTCAAGAACAGTAATTAAATTTGAAGAATTGTGTATCAAATAATAATAATAATAATTTTAGTTTGGAATTAAATTAGAAACTAAAATTAGATCCTTCAAATACAATGCGTTTATACTTGAAAGATATGGCCGAGTGGTTAGCAGGGGCGCTGCAACCTCAGCCATAACATCAGCGCTGGTTCGAAAGGCACGCTTGCCATGGTTCTGGTGCTAGAACAATTCTTCTCGGATAAAGACTATAAACCGTAGGCCCAGTGTACACAAATTCGAGACGAGTAGGGAGATACCCTGGTGTACTGGAACAGACAGCCGCTGTGCTGGATAACAAGAGTTGCTGGTACCGGGTTACCGGGTGGCACAGACACGAAGGGACCTTTAGAGGCGAAGAAAGTCATTGATTGAGTTCCTGTCCACATATCAAGTGCCCTGAGCATCTTATGTGAGATGGATATGGTGCTATATAAAACTACACTCTTATTATGTTTACATTAAGCAAATGTATTGTGGAACATCTGTTTTCAGTCTTTACAATTTTATCAAAATATCCTGACTATGCAAATTTACTAATTATGCTCAGTTAATTATAAATAGGTTGAGAGCCGTGACCGTGAATTAGAAAATCTTAACTCCGAGATTCATAACTACCATGAGAAGACAAAGGACCTAGAGAACGACCTGAGAGAAGTGCGAATGAAATGCCAGGATTTCGAGCGTGCCCTAGCATCTGCGAAGGAGCAGCGTAATGGTGCTGCTAAGGAAGTGCAACGGCTGGAACAAAGTTTACAGCAGGTGCAACAAAACTTGCTTTCATCACGGCAGAAACATAAAACCGAAGTAAGTTTCCATGTATGTATTTTAGTATATTTTTAAGATGATATTGAAGTTTTGCATTGCATTCAGTAATGTAGATGAAGAGCTCAGATTGTCTGTATTTACAGTACATAGGTGTCAGTGGCAGATCCAGAAATTCGAAATAGAGGGGGACTTTTACAAATGGGGTCTATACCATCACATCTCCACCATGATTGGGGTGAGGAGGAAAGAAAATTTGTGATTACGGCACTACATTGCCGGAAATGGCACTCTCAGACTCAAAATTGATTAAGATTTTCTTTTTTTCTCCATTTTTCTTTATAATTTTTATAGTGGACCTGCTGGCCCCCATGAATCTGCCACTGGGTATTGATAGAGATGTATCTCACACCATAGGAGTTTGTGAAATTCTATATTGTTACTTCAATTTAAATATTGTTTCCAATGAAATTGAATTTTGAGTACTATTTAATTGATTTTAATTTTACAATAGCTGATGCGATCAGAAGTTCAAACAAAGAAATCGAAGGAGGAAATTGACGAATATCAGAAAAAAATGGATCTGATTAAAGCAGAGTTATCAAAGAGGGAGGAACAACTGCAGAGGTCACAACAGGAACAGTTGAAGCTAAAGAACAATATTGCTGCAAAAGTTGATGAGGTAAAGAAAATGGAATTATGACTTTGTGGCTAATGTGCCTAACTTCTAATCTCAAGGGGCTGGGTTCAAATCTTTTATTACTCTTCATTATTGTAAATTTTTCTTAATTGAATAACAATGAATTTTACCACTATTACTACATTAACTTCTTTGCCTGGGAAAGCTTTTTTACAGTTTCCAGAAACCTTTGTTGCCTACTAGAACTGTTCATTTTCTAGAAAAAAGATTTACAACATAATGAATTATTATAAATATAACTTGATTCCAACATAGACTTTATGGAGAATAGCAATTCTAGTGGTCAAAGGGTCTTACAAGATGTATTGTAATTGAGGCAACATGTTACATCCCAATAGCAATCAGAAGATAAGGAAACTCATGATGATTACATTATTAAGTAAATAGGTAGATAAAATATTTGGTATGATCAGTTCATTATTTGTATGTATATTTTTTAGATCGAACACCTTGAAGCCAGAATTCAAACAGCTCAGATTGAAATCCGTGAACTTCAGACATTGGTGAGGCAGTTAGAGAATGACAAGACAAAGATAGAAGGAGATGTTCAGCAATCGATGGATGAGTTAACAGAGGCAAGGCAGCAGTACAGAGATGCTGCACAAGAGGTAAAAGTCAATCAATCAGTCAAACAAACATTCAGTCTATCAGCATTTTTATTACATTATACTGTGCATAAGGTGTGATCAGTGGAGAAACTTTATACAGCAATTTAGTTTGCTTTTTGTTTATCCTGTCTCTGATTTTTGGTATTGTTATTTCTGTATGTTTTGTTTTCTGTTTGACGAAATAAATGAAATGAAATGATGTGGTAGCTTTTTAAGCATACTATGAGATAGATTTTATAAATATTCAAATAAATTGCTTTTTTTTACTTTTGAATTGATTTCCATAGCTTGCTCATCATGAAGAGAAGTTGATGTTGATGGAGAATAGTTTACAGACGACGCAAGAACAGCTGAGTAGTCGAGTCGCAGAAGTTGTACGGCACGAACAATTAAATAATCGTCTACAAGCGGAGGTCACAGCTTTTAGAAGTCGATCAGATGATCAGAATTCTAAACTAGATGAACAGAAACAAGTTGTAGAGAGTATGAAGAACGAGTTGAATAAAACTTTAGTGGAACTTGAGGGCGCTAGAGAAGCACTGGTAAATGAACGATTGAATATGGAGAGGGCAAGAGAGGAACTACAATATGAGAGATTGCAAGGTCAAGAGGTCACCCTCCAGCTGAAGAATGCAAAGAAACAAGTCGCAGAGATCGAGGCAGAGATGAACAAAAACAAACAAAATTACAAAGCTGATAAGAATAAGGTTGGTTCATTTTTTTTTTTATTTATTCAAAGATTGGTATGTGTTTACTGAGATAAATAATGAGAATGAGAAAAGCTTACCAAAGACAATATAAACATATTTTTCTTATATGTTCTCTAATCCTCTCTAAATTTGGAGTGAATTTGTGGTTTTGTGATTGAGGTGAAAATCTTTAAATCTCAAGTTCCTTGGCTCCTTGGTACTTTTACACAGTACCACTTGGTTTATGTAAAGTCTATAGGCGTTTGCAGTTGGAGAAGGAAAAAATAATAATAAAACATTTTAATTAGCCAGGAATCAAAGATGTTCTCGTGTTCAAACAGTATTTTGTGCAGTTATTATATAGTTATTATAAAGCAGATAAATCATTATGTTAAGAATATATACATTCCATTGATAGTTAAATGAGCTTGAAACACTGACCAGCCAGCTACAGTCTGAGCTGGACTCGACACAGCAGAGGCTCGCCCTAACCAAGGAAGAGTTAGCGGAGAGTGACAACCACCTGAGGGTAGCTAGGATGAGCCTGGAGTCTGCCCAGTCAGCATCCCAGATACATGCATCTGAAATAGCAAGGTATGAAGAGTTGATGAGTCATTTCCAAGCAGAGAATGAGGAGAAAGATGAAGTCTTAAGGAATTTAAATAGACAGGTATGGTATTGTGCAGGATAATTATTATTGTTTTAAAGTTTAAAAATCAGTCAAATTAAGATTAAAGTAAAAATGTGTGATGATTTAATGTACATACAGTCAACTTCTTGGGTAGGATGGTAAGGATTGGCTCTGGTTATTCCAGCCAGGCAAAAGCCAGGCACACTGCGTCAATTGACCATCACCTGATGGATCCATTCACCCCACCTCTCTTTTTTTCTCATTCGACCAATTGTGGTTGACAGGGTGGGCTTAAGCCTCCCCTGACCCAACTCTCATGGTATTGCCACTGATTTTTTTGCCCAAGGGCACGTATAGAACTGAGGATAAGATTCGAACCTCAACTTTAATTTCTAGATCCACTATAAACACTGCACCAACTACACCACTAGATTTGTATATTTTATGTTCAACTTCTCTAATGTTTGAAATTATTATTAATATTGTAATTTAGCTGGAGGAATGCAAAATGCAACTCAACAGTGTACATAGACAGCTGGCAGAGACCCAAGACAAGCAACAGAAAGCCATGGACCAACTTAGTGACAGAGCCTCGGTAACAGCTAGGCTGCAGGCAGAACTTACCAAAGCAGACAAACAAAATCAGTTACTCTCACAACAGGTATCTATTGCACTATATCTTCACAGTTTGATTAATTTCAATTTATTATTCTCGAAATTATTTCTCTTCAAAGTAACTGTATAATTGTTTTCGTTCCCTAGGTTAAAATGTACGAAGACAAGATGAAGAAACTACGAACAGAGCTTCAGAAAGTGAACGAATTGAATCGAGAGAGTGAGACGGAAGTACAGAACCACGAAGTTAAGCTGCAGGAGTTGATTGACAGACTGGCAATGTCCGAGGACAAGCATCGGCAGAGCCTTCACGAGGTTGCATCTAGGGAGGAACAGATTGTGGTTCTGAAAGTGGAACTAGCATCTACCAATGAGAAACTAAGACATAGAACAGGAGAAGTAAGTCTGTTCGGATTTGATAAATAATATTAAAATTTCATTGTAGATCAACAAGTAGACATGTGTGTGCAACATTACATTAATAATGTTTTCAGAAATCAGTTCCATTTTTTTTTTTTTTATTTCAGGATAGGAAAGGCAATTTTCAAATATGTATTACAGATGTAATATTTTGTTATAAGCGTGATGTTCTTCTCACTTAAAGTCATGAGTATGTGCCAATATAATCACTATAGAAAGAGGCTTTAACTTCAATTTGACAAAACTTTGTTTTTGCTGTGACTCTGTTTATTTCCTGCATCTAGAAGCACAACAATTGTTTTATAGTTTATTCTTTGCTACTGGAGTGCAGTAATACCTTGTACCTGTAACTTAATATTGAAACACATGTTTGTAAAATTCCTTCCCCTTGTAGAGGCCAGCTGTGTTTATTTTAACATAACATCTCCCCATCTTACAGACGAATAAGATCAGTGGAGCTTTGGAAGCTATGCAAGAGCATCTACAGGTTTTGACCGAGGAAAGGGATCAACTGAGGTCATCTCTGGAGGAATCCCGGAACAGCGGAGACAGACTCCAACAGGAGAGTGAACTAGTGGTGTCCAATATCAATACCTGGGTACAGGAACAAAAGTAGGTTCTAAAGATATGTATGTGTTTGGCTATATGTGGCACTTGCAGGGTGTGTCTGTGAATGTATCTGTGGGTTTGTGTGTATTATGCAATCATTTAGATTGCTGTTTTGAATGCCGATGTGTATAACAAATTATTTAACATACTTATTATCAATTAGCAAAAATAGTAGGTACAAAAACAAATATTCATTTTTTTTATTCTCAACAGAGAATAAAAAAAATGAATATTTGTTTTTGTACCTACTATTTTCATTTTTTTTAATTCTCAACAGAGAATGTTACGAAAAATTAAGATATATTTCAAAGCTGTGTCTGTGGCTGTCTATATGTATAGTATTTGTTTTGTTTTACTAATATTATAATTTTTATTATTTTAAATTTCTTTGTGGTGTCTTTCAGACAAGCCAATGAGAGACTTGGAAGTAAAATGAGGGAGCAAAATCAGTCTATCCGTGCCCTCAACAGCGAGAAAGAGTAAGTTTGTTTGGTGTTTTTTTTCTGATATGAATTAACTTATAAAACACTGACTGATTCTATGGTAATAAAAAATAATTTTTTAATATTAAATATTTGTCATTATTGTTTGTTTTTGAATGTCTTTACAGACAGTTAGTGGAACGGATTGACAGCCTGAATCAAGTACTTAACAGATTGAAGGTGGAGAATGAAGAATTGAAGATCTCAGCTGAACGACTGAAGGCACTGCAGAACCACTCAGCACACCAGCAGGCACTGCTGCACCAACTGAAAAACAGACTTCAGGAACATGAGTACGTACTAAGTGATAGGGATGATGAGGAAGATTATTGGTCAGTGGTCCTAAATTTCAAGTGATCCGTGTTGTATACATTGACTAATCTTGTGTGATGGTGGTGGTAGGGATGATGATGATGATGATGTTGGCAACGATTCTGATGGTGTTGCTGGTGATAATGATGATGTTGATGTTGGCAATGATTCTGATAATGTTGCTGGTGATGATGATGATGATGTTGGCAACGATTCTGATGACGTTGCTGGTGATGATGATGATGTTGGCAACAATTCTGATGATGTTGATGGTAATGATGATGAAGATTGATGGTAGTGATGATGAAGATTATAATAATGATTATGAGGATGAAGATTAGGATAGTAGTAATGACAAGGAGGCGGAGGAAGAGGATGTGGATGGAGATGGGGATGATGATGATGTTAATTATAGTGATGATGTTGATAATGATGATGATTATGATGTTGATTGGGATGATGTTAAGGATGGTGTTGATGATGATGTTAATATTGAGGATTTTCTAGTGATGATGTAGTAATGGTGTTTATATGTTAAACTATGTTAACATTTTTTTAAATATTTTTAAAGCAACAAGTTTGAATAAACAAAGAAATCAAAATTCTATAACTTGACAACCCCACTCCACTTACAGAAATGACCAAGAACTTGAGCTCTCCGGTAAGCTGGCAACAATCGAAGACCTTCACATCCGACTCAAAGCAAATGTAGACTCCATCCAGCAGTTAAATCAACAACTGAACACACTGAATGTGGAGAATTCCAGGCAGCGTACAGAGCTGGAGAGAGAGCGTAGTAGACGCGATAGTCTTCAGTTACAACTGGAAAGCAAGGAGCAAACCCTAATTAGCCTCAAAGCACAGGTAAATTGACAATATTTTCAGAAATTGCATTTTATGAGGAGGTGGGGTATGTTTGTGTTGTTATACTCGTTTATAGTGGATCATCATAGGTTTATGCCATGGTAGTTCTTTTATGTAAAATGTTTAAAAACGAATGTTTAAGTACCTAAACAAATAACAGTAATAGTTATATTTATAAACTAGTAATATTATTAATAATGCTAATTATACCAAATGTGATATAAAAAAAATGACAGAACTCAACATTTCAGAAACTAACTAAATACATTTATTTTCTCAACAATGATCTATTATTTCTCACCAGTTGGATGCCTTGAAGTACCAGCTGAGAGAGATCAACCTTCGAAGTAGCAAAAGTGTTGATAACATAAGTGGTCAGTTGGACACGTCCATTCTGCCTGATTCAGCGTATGCATCGGCATTAGAACGAGGGTTACAGAAGTCAGCCTCTAAGGAGAGGGTAGGTCAGTGCATGTCGTTTGTTTTCCTTTTGTTGTTAGGCTAATTTTTACATCTTTCTTACTTCTTTGTGGTCTTTTAATTTTTGTTTGCCTTCTCGTACACTTACAATCCCTTTCAGACTTTACAGACTTCACACATTTCTCTCTGTTTAGAAAATCTTTGTAATGTTAGATTTTTTTATTCAGTTCCATTTTTTGTCAAGTTATTGTCATGAAAACAAGAAGTCATGAAAATTTTTTAATGAATTAGTTCATCAATAATATTAAAACTACATTAAGGCTTCATCAATCAGATAATATCTGTCATTGTACTATTTGCATATGATTATTATAAATGTAATTTACCTTGTCTATCATGGAATATCCACATTTTTTAAAAAGAGGGGGTTCCTTTTTTTCTACCACTTATTGTGTTATATCGTCCATGTTTAATTGTGCTTAAATTTCTATAAGAGTAAAATCATAGATATATACTCAACTGAAGAGGGATATTATGAGACAAAAGTATTTTTTTTATTTTGGACTATGCATGATTTGAATGAGCATGAATTAACCTCAGCAACTGTGGTCAGCCTAGCATGATCACCTGTCATTTACCATCGTTATTGCTAATAGTAGCATTGTCAGTGCCTTGTGGCAAATAATGTATAAATGTCTATACAATTTTATGAATATTATTTTGACCGGCACTCTACTGATGTCTTTAACAGACCGAACTTAATTGGAGCATGACAACCGATGAAATTGCGTTAGCAGATCCAGACAGCTTTGCGAAAGCATTCTGGATACAGCGTGTCGGGGAGCTGTCCGTACAGCTACAGCAGAGTAGCGAGTACTGGTGTGGTAAAGTCCGTGAGCTGTCTGCACATATTGAGCGAACACAGACGCCATCACCGAAGAAGACTCCTGAAGATTAGGAAAGATGTTCAACATGTTCTGCATAGCTTCAGTGAAATGAAATTTTGACAATCAAAACGCCCTCCATTTAATCTGTATGATGGTAGAGGAGGAACACAATTGACCTAAAACAAATTATGTTAATGGTCAACAAGGAAAGATGGTCAAGGTATGCAGATCGAGGAAAGCTGGCTTACCTATAGTCTTTGTACTTTGACGTAGTGTCCAGCACCAAAACCCTGTTCAGTACTTTTTGAATAAGAATTCGTCAGTACTGAAGTACAATAGAACCAAAGCCTATATTTAGTCAACTTTTTTACTGTTATAAAAAAAACGCCTAACTTGATAGGAATGTATTTATTTGTTTTCTTACGAAAAAAAAAATTGTAAATATATGACCACAGTTGAGCACCAATATTAACATTTCTGATACTATTTTTAGAACCTAATTGCTTGTAAAATCTAATATGATTTTTCCATAACAGCATTAATGTTTTTGTAAAGTACTTTTACTCTGTATTTCAGTTCTGTATGTATAATACATTAATTTTATCAATGATTACATAGTGTCATCATGTTTTTACTACTTTTATTATTTATATAATATTTTTAAGACTGTTATGTACAGGTGGGTTTTTTCCCCCTAAAAATGGTTGTACAAATTATAAATTACAAATATTCCCTTGAAGAACAGTTTTTGTGTCTATGCCACCTCGGGGACAAAGACACTATGTTATGATCTGGCAGTTAAAGATGGCAGAAAGGGTGAATCCGGTGGAGATGCATGATGGGTCATGTGTCATCTTAAGTACCTTATTACTGTACAAAAGTCATTAAAAAAATATAACACCACACATTTCCTGATAACCGAATCCCATGTGGATACTTATATTAGTAATAATAATAATAATAGTGTAGTTTTATATAGCGCACATATCCATCTAATGTAAGATGCTCAGGGCGCTTGAAATGTGGACTAGGAACTCGACCAAACATAACATAACATAATACAGAAAGGCAGTATAAGACATAGACACGCTCCCGCTGGGAGCCTATTTTTATTTAAATGTAAGAGAAGTGTGTAAGAATATGAGATGAAATTTTATGCGTCCATCAATCAATCAATCAGACTGTCAGTCAGTCTATCAATCAACCAATCAAATAACTTGTATAATATATATCAACAAATTCCATCATGCAAAATAATCTCCAGTGGTGCTACATGATGATGGCTTAATTTCCAAATGATAAATCTTATCACTTTAAATGTATTGAATGTATATATTTTTATCTACTGTATTTTATTTAAATTTGGCTTGTAAACATAATGTATGCATGGACTTCAGATTGTATATTTGATTAAAGAATTTCTGCACTAGTTATATAAACCACCAATGATTTTTTTAATGATTTGTGCATAAATTAACATAAATTTAATACAGGATAAATAAAAATAATCCTGACTAAGTGCCTTACAGTCCAGACGTTTATTAAATCAATTTCAAATAAAAAGATGTTAAAATGTTGTGTGTAATATTGTAATGTTGATTTTTTTTAAGGGAGGTGCTTAAAAGTGGTGCCATGCCCTCCACCTCTCCTATGTAAACTGGGCAGGCTGCAAAATGTTATATTTTTGTAAAGAAAGCCAAGAGAGGGATTACATCTACTATTGTAAAAATGCAATCTGTGGTGTGGTTTTGTCTTTTTTTTTGCTGCAGAAGCTTGACATAAATGTGTGCTTTTAATTAATTGTATCAGTCCACCTTTTATGAAATATTCAGGTGTTGAAAGAGTAAATTTGTGATAATAAACAGAAATTTTTATTCGAAATACTTGTGTGTACTTTATTGAAAAAACCCGCTCCACTATTTTGGAAAATGGCTGGTAATGTGTCTTTTTCATTTAGCTATTTTCTTCTCAGTACTTTTTCCTATGAAAGTACAATCTGTACTAGTGTTAATTGAGAGCTGTAGAGGGCGCCTAACCAAAAATGTTGAATATCAACCTTTACACAAGAGCACATGTAACGGCTGTACGCATAAGGCTAGACCAATCAATTACGGTAACTATAGGAACCATTGATGCGATTGATTTACTTCCGCATATTGGGTCACTCTGCTGGTAAACAAACACAGACCGGACCAATTCCAAATACTTGTTAATGTTAGTTAAATAAAGCCGTGTAGAAGGCGAGGCAAACATAAACTTACTTATGGAACGAGAAAAGACTAAACTACTAAATGAATACCCAGGTTTGATGGAAAATGGGGAACCCCTTGCGGCAAAATCTGCGTTTAGTTACGTGCCTACAGTTCGAAATGACCCAGCCGAGCACACTGTATTTAACACTCAGGGATCGGTAAGTGAATATCTAGGCTAGGCTAGAAATTGAAGAAGTCTACCTAGACTAGGCCTAGCCTCTTTGCATGAAAATATTCCTAGGCTAATTAATAACAAAATTAATAATTATAATTAGCCTATTGATAATATATTTATTAAAATAATAATTCACTAATTGTAATTAATTTTAAATTATTAATGTAGGTAGGCCTACTCATCATGTAGTCATATTAATAATGATTAATGTTAATAGTACAGGCTAAATAAATAACATTAACCCCCTGCCAGATTAATACTAATACCGTAAAACCTCGAATAGAAGCCCTGGGCTTATTTTTTGCATCTTGCGGATGTGCTTCTTTCGAGGCTACTTTTGGCAAAGTAAACGGGGCATGGATAGAGTATATTAACCGGCATTAAATCAGTTAAGTGTATAAACCAAGCGTATTTTTAATTGTTTATTTTGGTTTTTTTTTTAAAATCATTCAGGAGCGTCAGCATTCTACATTTGATCGCCTTTTTAAATGGTCAGAAGGTTACAACAACAAACTCCACCGCTGTGATCGAGAACATGCAAAATTAAGGGGGCTTCATGTGAATGATGAGGTAGGGTTCTCTTTTTGCATCACCACTTCTCACCTGTAGTTTGCAACATCATTTTTTGATGATATACATTTTTGTTACCTATAAATTTTTTGTATCTTTAGGAACATACAAAGGAGGTGCCGACATTATCATCATCAATTTATGGACACAAACTAGAGCGTTTTAATGATCCCCCAGGAAGAGCTCACGTGAGAGTTGGCTACGTTAAGTCAGAGTTCTACCGAAGGAATGGTGTCAATATAGAAGGTGATCAAGAGGGAATGTAGACCAAGAGCAGTTTTAATGGTGTTTCAACAAATACGGGACTGCTGATCACAGCGCCGTACGACTGTTGTACGGAAAATCCAACTCTTCACCCTGTCAGTGGTAGATCATGCAACACTCTCTGCTGATGGTCGGCAGTCTGAACAGATCGTCATTAAAAACAATTTGCGATTTGTACATCTACTGAGAACAAGGTGCTGGCGACACTGCAGCTTATTCCGAGTTCATTGAATGCTGTTATTCAGTGGCATATCTAGAGGGTGCATGCCTTCCAGAAAGGGTTGCCCTCCACCACCCTGGAAATTTTTAAAGCAAAGAAATAAAGTAAATTACCCCATACTACCTTATTTTGCCAGCTACCTTCCCCTCAACTTATCACCAAGTCCTCCCACTTCACCTTTGCTCCCCCACCCACTTTTCAATACCATTTGATACACCAGTTTTGGCAGAGGGCTTCAGAGGGAGGGCATGCTTTCCTCTGCTCCCTGTATATTTTGGAAGTGGTGGCAACAAATGCTATTCTCCTTTCTTTAGATATGTATATAATCATGATTGTAAAGAAAATAACTGAATATCAGGCACAACTTTTAAGGAGAGCGGAATAATGTATTTTAAATATTGTGTAATTATTTGAATTAAAAAAAATTGAGTAAACGAACAGTTTTGAGATATGTTACATAAAAAAAAATTTTCACTTGTCCTTGTATTTGCTACACCTAGTCCACTCCCCAGCGATACCTCAATACAGTAGTTGGTTATAGATAAAGTTGTACAATACGTAAAATTAAGTGGAACTAGTTTATTTGGAATAAAAAGGAACAAAATTACTGTTTGTGAGTTAAATTTTAATCGTGAAAAAAACAACAGTTTTCTCGTGTACCAAGCTTTACATATTTTACATTACGAGCTCAAGCAATCATATGTCACCTTAAAGACAACTAATTTACATACACTGCACAAATCATATATCTCCTTAGAGAAAATTATTTTACACCACCAGCTCAACCAATTATATGTCGACTTTAGTACTCATTTACGTAGCCCATTTCACTAGTCACAGATCAACTCACTGAAACATCTGAATGCCTCCCACACGCACTCCCTCGAGCAAGCACAAAATTCCAGGAAACTAACCCATTGATGGTGGAAATCTACTATAGTTTACATTTCAATTATTAGATAACAGATGAAATTTCAGTACAGTATATGGATTGAGTATAAAAATCAAATATATTCGTATAGAACTATTCTACTAGAAGTTAAAATAATGCCGTTTATCACACAATATATTGCGATATCAGATTCTATTATTAAAAACAACTGTAATTTTCTAAAGAAGAATGTAAAAATATATTATAATTTTACGTATAATTTGAATATGTATTTATTCAGCAATTCACATCAAAACAGTAAAATAAATTATAATTTTCTAATCTTTTGTATCATTTCTCTAGATCCTCAATCCAAAAGCAAATTGTTTATTTCAAGTACATACATATAGTAAATATACAGCAAGATATATGAATGGTTTGCTTGTGAAAAATTGTTAATAATCAACTTAAATGTTTTTTGCAATACAATTTTAGTTAACATTCTTTCTTGATAATGCATTGATACTGTATACTTAGAAAGGGGAGATTTTTTTATCAAATATCATGGCCCCTTGAGAATGTATTCAGTAGATTTCTTATAGCCTTCTTTTCTATAGTTAATAAGCATATCTTGTTGAATTTGTTTACCCAAGTAAAATGGCACTGTATAGCCCATTGAATGTCCTCACCATCTACAGTCTGCATGATGGTGGGGTCAGAGGGTAACTAGGCCCCAAACTACCTCCATTTAGACTCCCCGTAGGCATACTGTATTTCTGGAGCCACCTTTGAAAACTTCATGTACACACAATTAGATCTACTATCATCTGCAGACTTCAAATTAGTTGTATCAAAGAGTATGGAATTGCAAGAGCTACGACGACCCTCATTTTGTTCGCACAAAATGAATCGTTAAAAAAGGACTACCAAGACATTGGGGGCGCCCTATTAGAATTGGAATAGATTTTGCTCGAAACACGCCCCTTTGTGCTAGTACTTTTTGAAATGGGATTACATTCTAAAGAACTGACGAGAGTAGGACCTCTTGCAGTTCCATATTCTTTGGTTGTATCAACAAATACATCTTATGTATATTCATAATTATAAATAGATTAAAAAATATATATATGTGTGCAGACAAAGTATTGGCTGGTGATATGAATCAATATGCTTTATAATGGAATCACATTATTTTATTTTATAAACTATTATCATTATTATTTAACTTAAAAAATTAATCAAAAAATATATACACCTAAGACTATGATGATAGCACGCTCACTAAAAAAAACTTTTCACATCTTTATAAATTTATACATTAGATTTAGAAAAAAAAAATTTTACTTGCAAGATATTTTTCCCAAGTAAAATGGCACTGTGTACTTAGAAAGGGGAATGATGTCTCCAAAAAAAGTGGCTGGAGGCAGGGAGCTACAACCATTTAAAGATTTTTCATCAAATATCAAGCCCCCCTTGAGAATGTATTCAGTAGAATTCTTATAGCCTATAGCACATTTAATAAACATATCTTGTTGAATTTGTTTACCCAAGTAAAATGGCACTGTATAGCCCATTGAATGTCCTCACCATCTACTGTCTGCATGATGGTGGGGTCAGAGGGTAACTAGGCCCCAAACTACCTCCATTTAGACTCCCTGTAGGCATACTGTATTTCTCGAGCCACCTTTGAAAACTTCATGTACTCTCAATAAGATCTACTATCATCTGCAGACTTCAAATTAGTTGTATCAAAGAGTATGGAATTGCAAGAGCTACGACGACCCTCATTTTGTTCGCACAAAATGAATCGTTAAAAAAGGACTACCAAGACATTGGGGGCGCCCTATTAGAATTGGAATAGATTTTGCTCGAAACACGCCCCTTTGTGCTAGTACTTTTTGAAATGGGATTACATTCTAAAGAACTGACGAGAGTAGGACCTCTTGCAGTTCCATATTCTTTGGTTGTATCAACAAATACATCTTATGTATATTCATAATTATAAATAGATTAAAAAATATATATATGTGTGCAGACAAAGTATTGGCTGGTGATATGAATCAATATGCTTTATAATGGAATCACATTATTTTATTTTATAAACTATTATCATTATTATTTAACTTAAAAAATTAATCAAAAAATATATACACCTAAGACTATGATGATAGCACGCTCACTAAAAAAAACTTTTCACATCTTTATAAATTTATACATTAGATTTAGAAAAAAAAAATTTTACTTGCAAGATATTTTCTGTAGATTTGTAATTACTATTTATTAGTGCTGTAATTAGAGGTGACATTTAGCAATCTAGACAAGCTCATGAGTAATACCATATAAGGCTAGTAAAATTATGTTAAGGCATTTTATCCCAAAAACATGGAATGTACAGACAATACAATGGCTATGTTCACACACACACACAAGCTAATGGTTAGCAGGATCCAGATAAATAACATATGCACTCACCTTGCATTCATACAAAAAAAACCACTGATTCAGATATCAAGAAGATGACGGTGGGATCACTGGCCAATACGAAACTGGAAATGTGTACATGTGATTGGTTAATGATACAAACGCACTCAACTTGCTAACCAATAGCACTCGCTAACCGTTGGCGTATCCGAATCCTGGTAACGGTTAGTGCTAACCGATTGGGCATTCTCACATGAATGCTAAAGGTTAGTCGTAACAGTTAGCTCCCGATTCGGATACTAGGGCTCTAGTGTGAACCTAAGCTACCCTAAACACAGCATTATTTGAAAATCTGGTTCAGACGGCCAGAATCTATTGTTTATAATTGGCCTAATTCTAAGGTTCATTTCTCCCAATGCATTCTGGTTGCTTTGGTAACCACAGTGCTAAAACAAAATGAGTTGCATTGTAGCTGGTGTTGAGATACTAGTCAATACAGACTGGAACATAAATAATGGTGAAAAATGGGTTTTAATTATTTTCTATAAATATATTACATTAACAAAGCTATACTCAGAAGCTTGGTTTCCATACAATAGCTCACCGTCTCAGCAACAGTCGCCGACATTGTTGGAAAGGTCAAACCTGGTTCAACTTTGCAGACTGAGTTGCAGATGAATCGGAATGCCTTCCCGATTGTGTCAGGGCAACTAGCAATGCACCCTGATTTTTCTGCAACACAATCAGCAAAGTTGAACCAGGTTCAACCTTTCCAACAACTGTCTGGAAACGGAGCTTAATACTCGCAATACTGTAGTTATTAATAAGAGATAGATTTGATCTAAGACTGAGTAGGTCCATTACTTTTCGCTGGGTTTCTGATCAACTTAATGGTCTTTTCAACATGGTCCTCAAGATGTTTTACTAGGTGTTCGGTCTTCAGATCTCCCTGGTTACACTCAATACACGTGTACATTAAAACACCAAAAGAAAATTCCAACTTCGTACGAGACGGACGCACGTTCTTATCAAAGAAATTCTCAACTTCCTGAAACCGCATCTGTATTCTATCATCTGGGCAATTTCTAAGATCTTCTAAGGTGCGGTGGATAGCAGTTGATTCGTCCTTTGTGGATTCTGTTTCATCATCTTTGGTGTCTTTTACTTGTAACTCTTTCATCTTAAGTGAGATGTTTTTACCTATGTGGCTTTCCAAGTGTCGCACAAGCTCAAAGTCTTTACCTTTGAACCCGGCCTTGTCGCACATGAGGCACGTAAAGTTCATTGTGCCGACCACTGCGCTACTTCGGTTTAAATTACTGCAAATCTCTTGCTTGAAAAACCTCTCCACTGTGGTGATCGATAGGATTATGGGATCCGATTTTGTCGACTTAAGTTCTGAGATTAAATCCTCCATAGAAAGATTCTCTTGGCCTGGTGAGAAAACCGATAAAAAATGAATATAAAATTGTTTTAAGTTAAATTAAAATGAATACACCAACAATAATATGTTAGCCTTATATCTCTTCCTGCAAACAAGACTTTTAAGCACTTCACAATCAGGCCATACAGTATATATGCGCTTTATAAATACCCAGCCATTTTACTGGTCCTCGAGTATAAGCTCATCCCCAGGGGCCGACCCACAACATTTTCAGAATAGATAAGTGAGCAGCGCTAATTCAATAATATAACATTGATGTGCATTGAAATTTTAAAATTTAGTGGTAAATCGGGATGGGGGAGCATGTGGTTCCCCCGTTCCCCTACTGGATCCGTGTTTGATCCCCCTACCAACCCACCCCCAAATTGACCTACTTCATGTTTATGGGGGTAACATTACACTTGATGAACTACGGTTAAAAAAGATGTGTGGAGGCGTGAAACTAATCATTAATAATAACTGTATAAAAAAACATCGCAAACAAGGAAATACAGTATCAACACTGTAAAAGATGAATTTTGGTATAAAGACAATTTTTTACATTTAATTCTTACTTTTTTCATCATTAATCTTATCTGAGAGTTGGTCTTTACCAGCCATTTCTTCATCTGCATCCCTGGTATGTGATTTAGAATTTTGTCCAAGACCGTCATTAACTGTTCCTGAAAGGCGCAGGCTTTTCCTGGTTCCAGGTGTTTCAGGTTCATCCCATTTCCGTTTTGATCTAGAATTATTCTTTTCATTCAAACCATTGGTAGGTGTTGAACCACTCACTGGTGAATTACTCTTTTCATCCCTTTTTTCATTTTCTTCTACACAAGTTTTTTTCACAGACTTTTCATCATCCTTAATTTTCCGCTTTAGACCTTCATTTGCAGTCTCAGCACATAATTCTTTTGAGGCACCTTTGCCAGCAGGACTATTAATATCAGAATTTTCCAAGGCCTTCATAGACTCAATCTTATCAATAGCAACATTGAGAGGTAGTTTGTTGAGTACAACTTTAACATTACATGATGGTTTAACATCAGTCTTCTCTGAATTCCCTAAGGTTGGCACTTTGCTTGTCTTCTTTTCATCATCGCTTGTGTCATCTATGGTAACAACATCAATAGGTGGCTTGGGTTTATCACTTGCTCCAGTGGTGCTGGAACCTGAATGAGACAACAATACATTCATTAGCACATATTAATGACCATCAAATTGAGCTTTTTTTTTTTCTTTTTTTTCTTTTTGTTTTTACAATTCTTAAAGACAAGTCACATTTCCATTCTTGATCAAGTTTCATTGTTGTACATGGTAAAGCACAATATTTGTTTGAATTAATTAAACGAAAAACAAATTTTTATTTTTTACAAGAAATTCAACAAACTGTAACAAGTTAGAAACAATTACCTTGGAGCGTTTTGTTTGGTGCAGATGGTGTCTTTTTCTTCATTACAATTATCTTCTTACAGCCTAAGATGTGCCTGCGGAGATGGTTTGCAAATATAAAAAGATCTTTAACACCACGATGGAGAAAACCACAGTGTTTGACAAGACATCTCCAGCCATTGGAAGTTGCTCCAAACTTCTTCAACAGTTCTGGTTCTGTTACTGAAACTGTTTTTCTTGCGACATCTGGTGTTGCAGGTTGATTCTTACGTGGTTGAGTTATGGTAACATGTTTGGGAGCAGGATTGGGTGCAGGTTTGGAAGGGGCTTTGAAAGGGACTTTGAGAGTGGCTTTATCAGAAGATAACTTGTTTGAGGTAGTACGACACATTTTACGAAGGGCTTCCTCTGCTTCACTGCTGATGTTATGACTCAGTGTATGAGCAGAAATCTCTGCCTCCACAACATCACCCAGCTTTCCTTTGAATATATAGGTGATCACAAAGAAATCACAGTTTTTACACGTTAGTTGGAACATGTTTGAATGTTCGTATCTTGCACCACGTAAGCAATTGTAATGTGACAGAAGAGGATGACCAGTGAAGTCAGTTTTACGAAGTAAAATAGTTCCGATGCAAATGTAAGTGAAATGTTTTGCGAGATGAATTGATAGAGATTGGTCCAAGAGTGTTGATGCATTACAACGCTTAAAACAGCATGAGTAGCGAAATCTTTCATCATTTGCTGTTTGCCTTGACCGATAATGCTGCAGTACTTGCTTTGTGGTCAACAATGGAACAACTTGGCCCACAGATGTTGAGGGGTAATCTTGTATAATAACACGCATAGGAAAGTGGCTACCCAAATGTGCAGCCAGTTCTGAGGATGCTGAGTAAGTAGCAGTACATCCCCTCAAAGAGCAGACAAAATTTGCAGATGAGTTGCCCACTGGCATTAGTGTGAAGTACTTAAAAACTTGCTGGGTTGTCATAAACACTACAGATCTACTTGACACAGGCTGTCTAGATCCTCCATAGTAGTCAAGGATGTCATTTTCCCTTGGCAGACCTGAGAGGAGTGAAAAAATTGAGGGTGATGCTTCTGTCTTCAATACATCTGTACCAGTTTCTGGTACTAATGTTTTTACAGACTTCTCATCACACTGACCATTTTGATCTGGGGTGACTTCATCCTCTTCAAAAAGCCTCCAGTACTCTGCAAGATCTTCTTCAGTTAAAAGAGGTCCCGGATCCTCAGGTTCTTCAGGATTCTGCTGTGGCTCTTCTTGAATTTGGCTTGAGAGAGAACTTTCTGATGGCAACTCTGATGAAGATTTATCACCAGCATCATTTTCAGGTAAACAGTCTGTCTTATCATCACAATTATTTTCAGGAACAACACACTTTGGCTCATCCTCATTATAAACCTCAAGTTCTGGGAAGAAATTGTCATTGGTTTGGACATCATCTGGAGACAGCTCATCCTGTAAATGAATTTCAGAGGGTGATGGTATTTGTGCTGTAACATATTCAGCTTGAAGTGGAGGTGAGGCCAACAAAGATGCTAGTCCCGTTTTTGGAAGTGCATTTGATGCACTAATTTGCATTGGAAAATGATCTGATGTTTTCATCTCTGAATATGTGAAGGAACTGGTTTCATTTGACTCCATTCCAAAAGACAATTTTTGAATACTTGATGATGCTGGTTTCTTCATACCATAGTCTGAATCACTGTCATCCTTCTTTCTGTCTCTCTTCCTCTTTTGTTCATCTCTCTTTGCCAGACGTTGTTCTCTTTCATGTTCTCTCTTTGATGTTAATCTATAACGTACACTTGCTAATAGTGACTGCTTCTGCTTGGAATTAGGAGATAGAAATTCAATTTTTTTCTTTTTTTTGTGATGCTTTCTCCGCCTATATGTTGTCTCCCACTGTTCTTCATCACTACTGCTGGAATGTATCTTGCCAAAGTCATGGAGATCATCATTGAGAACATGCCGACTTTCCATCTGGTGAAGTCGACCCGAAGTACATATGTACCGATCCAGGTTGTTATTGAGTGAAGAAACTACACTTGATCGGTTTACAGAAACTGGCTTGAGCACTTCATCCCAAGAGAAAGCCTTCTTATTTGAATCCTGTCGGGCATGTCCAATTCGATTACCAACAAGACCATTGAAATAGGTCCTTATAGTGACCTCAGGCACTACGTGAACGCTTAAATGCAAAGCTTGTATAATTGCAGATACATTCTGAGCGCTCACTTTATTATTGCAATGTTGACATTGCAGAAACCTCTTCATGCCAACTTTCTTGTATACAAACTGTGACATGATTTTTTCAAATGGTAAGTACACAACAATACGGCTTGATTTCTCTGCATTTGGAAAACACACCTTTTGATGGAAGTACACCTGGAGATAGTTGGGAAAGGATTGTTGACAAATGGCACATTCATAAACAGTTTTATCACAATTTTCCAGTAAAACATCCAACCTAATCTGTTTCTTCCCCATTTTATATCCATCAACAACTATCTTTTCAAAAAATGCTTTTTGTTTCTTTAGTCCATCTGCTGACAAACTTTTAACAGGTTCTGCAAACAAAGTTTCATCATGTTTGAATGATGTTGAGGATTGCTTGAGAGCCGTTGCATATACTTTTTGAGAAGTTGAGCTGACTGATGACACTGGTAACACTGGTGATTTGTTTGTCACAGCAGTAGCATTACTCTTTGGCAGACTTCCTTTGGTATTGCTATAATCCACAGGTGCTTTCCTCGGGCGTAGTCCATAAGATGCTTTTGTAACAGTCTCTTGTTTTGAAGTGCCTCCTCCTTGTCTAGAACTATTTGGAGCCATTACACTATTTGAGATTTGTCGAACACCAGGATGTTTTTCTAACATGTGCTTATTTAAATGTGCTTTTGGTCCTCTAAATGAACATATACTACATGTCCCTATTTTTTCTTTGTCAACATCTTTAATTAAATGAGAAGATGAAGGGTGTTTTTCTGATAAATGCTTCACAAAAACCGACCAAATTCCTTTGAAACTACAAATTTTGCATCTTAAAATCTGTTCCTTATCAATCATAATAAGTCCATGAGCTTCCCTGACATGCTTCCTTAGCTGATCAGCAGATTTGAAAATTTTCTTGCAAAGCTTGCATCTTTTGACAGTGGAAGGATTGTTTTCAGCAAATTTAGATCCAGCTGGTTTTCTAGCAGGAGCTGAGCTCGCTTCTTCTATCACCACAATATCTTCTTCTTCATCTGCTGCAGCATTAGACTCTTTGGTTTCTTTGGTTGTTTTATCTTTACTAGCTGAACCTTGATCGGCAGTGTTTCCATGATGATCACTACTCTTTGGAGCAACCTCATTATTCACACCGCTTAGATCACTGAGACTTGATTGAGCCTTATTAACGTTGTTTGTTGAGGATTCAGATTTGGGCTTATTTAGTACATTCTCTGAGTCTTCCTCGTCACTAGAAATGAGACAGATGACATCACTCTCTGCTTGTTTTTTCCTCTCTGATAATTTAGTACTTATTACATTTTTATCCAATTCTTTTGAATTTGAAGAGCAAGATTCTGGTTTTAATCCTTCAAATGTGTCAATAGGTGTAGTCTCTTTCTTCACATCATCTTTCTTTCCATCAACATCACTATTCACAGCAACATCCTCCTCCTTTATTCTCTCCAACTCTGTCTCATCTGAAGGCACTATTTGATCATGCAATAAAGTGCTTTCTACAGATGTATTTTTTGGAATGTTTGCTTCGTTTTCATTTTCACTAACTTTTTGATTATTCAGATTCACTTCACCAGTTTCAATCTTATCTGGACTTTCATTTTCTGTTTCATTAACATCTTTCACACTTTTTTGACCTGTTGAATTTATCTCAGCTACATCCATATTGTTTTTGTATTCTTTAGTACTTGTCTCATCTTTGATGACAGCAGTATTTAGGTGTACTTCATCAACATCAGACTTATTACTTGTCAACTCATCAACTGCTGTATCTTCTTCAGCAACTGATGTGTTTACCTTGGCCTTGCCTTGATCACTAACCTCATCTTGATCTTCCAACATGGATGCAGAACCATCAGTTGAAATATTATTATCAGGAAATTCATTATCTTTTTCATCTTCACCTGGGAGATCTTCACCTACAAATATAAGGGAACTGAATGGTGGATCATCTTTACAATTAACATCCATACCGTCACCCTTAGCAACGTTATCCATTTCAGCATCCGAAAGGTCACATTTTGCATCACCATCTACTGCAGCTTCGATTTGAATATCAGGTGTGTCTTCACAATCAAGAGCTAATTGGACATTATGTGTGTTATCATTATCAACTAGATGTTCCTGGTAGTCACAGTGTGTGTTGGCCTCTCTTTCAGTATCTGAAAAGTCACAATGAAAACCAACATCTAATTCAGCTTTCATTTGGTCGGAATGTGTGTCGTCTTCTACTTCGGGATACATATTGTCATTATGTGTATTCACCTCTATATCAGGACCTGAAATGTCACCTTGAATGTCGCCATCTATTTCAGCTTCACCATCTGCTTGAGCTTCCATAAAGTCACCATACGTGTTGCCATCTTCTTGATCTTCAGAAGATTCACCATCTATTTTATCTTCCGATTGGACAACATGTGTATCATCATCTTCTTTGGATTCTACCTGCTCTCCATAAGTCTCACCATCTTTTTCAGCTTCCAATTGGTCATCATGTGTGTCATAATCTTCACCTTTTAACAGGCTGCCATGTGTGTCATCATCCCCATCAGCTTCAAATTTGTTACGTGTATCTTCTTCTTCAGCTTGAAATTGTTCATCAAGTGTCACACCATCCTCTTCAGTTTCGAATTGGTCTCCGTGAGTCTCACTATCGTCTTCAGCTTCCAATTGGTTATTATGTGTGTCATCATCTTCCTTAGCTTCCAATTTGTCACCAAGTGTGTTATCTTCTTCACCTTCTAATTGGCCATCAAGTGTGTTATCACCTTCTTCACATTCCAATCTGTCACCAAGTGTGTTCTCATTATCATCAACTTCCAACAGATCACCATGTGTGACGCCATCTACTTCTGATTCCGCTTCATCCCCATTTGTATCAGCATCTGCTTGAACTTTCTTATGTTTATTACCAAGTGTGCTGTCCTCTCCTTCAATATCAATAGACTCCCTATGCTTCTCACCATCAACTTCATCATGTTTATTCCCGTCTGTTTGGTGATGACCATTTATGTCACAATTTATTTTTTTTGCAGTAATGTCTAGACAAGTCTGATCATGTTTGTCACCTTCATTATGATGTTTATTGTGGTCAAAAAGTTCATCATCTGATGTTAGTAAACACACATCTTCATCTGCTTTCATGAAATCTTCTTCCATTATTATCTCGTCTACATCATTGACACTGAAGTAAACAAAAAAAAAAGGAAAAAACAAATTGAACCCGCTGAACCCGCTTTTTGACTAGTTCACTATTAAGTAGTAGTATGTTAGACAACTTTGTTTATTATAGGCAGTGGCAGCGTCCGAAATCTGTGGGGGGGGGGGGCAAGGTAAAATATTGGGGAAATATCCAGAGGTGGTGCCAGAATTTGCCGGACGTTAGCAAAGTGGGTGTGGTCGGGTGTCAATGAAAACGTTTCGAAAGCGGCCCAGGGGGCAATTTAGGTGTTTCAGAGGCTTATTTAATCTATTTTGTAGATAGATAGTCTACTAACATATCATCACCGTTTTCACTTACGAGACACAAACTTCAATATAGACAAAAACAACGTTTTTAGAAAAACATGTTTGAAGTGGACTACTTCAAAAACCCGTAAATTTCACTATCAAGATATCAACATTTTGAATATTTTTTTTTACATATTATTAAAGATAAAGCATTAAACAATTCAAATATTCTATTTATTTTTCATTTCTTAACCTTAATGAACCTGTTAATTAGCGTGAAATGTTTTTGTCTGTTCATGAAAATAATAAGAATTTACCAAGCATAGGTTGCTTACACGTATAGCGAAGTTTGTGTCTCTTCATGAAAACGAAAATCTCATTTTACGCGCTGTACGTGCTCTGTTGTCAGGCACAAAACTTTGCTTTTGCCTATGTTTTACCATTAGTCAAAGGTGATCATAGGCCTACAAACTAGGTTTATCCTGCTAAAACCATAAATGTTTTTACTAATAATTCCACACTTGCTGCACATGTATAGACCTAGTCCAATTTATACTGCGTGAAAATGAAAAATCTATTTTCTTGGTTTGTGCGCAATGGCTAATTAGCCTAATTAGCTAATTAGTGTAGTTGTACTCTCAACAACTAGGTGAAAAGGTAAAGTTTGATGTACATAATTAAAATGTCAAAGGAAAAAAAATTGAAAAAATATGATTTTTGAGTTTGTGTCTCTTCGTGGTGTCGGTGACGATTTACAAAATACATAAATTTTTCATTTCTCCCCAACGAATTGTGGTTTACCCTTTTTTGGGTCCAAACTGTTGGGGGGGGGGGAATTATCTGAGGAGAAAATGTCCCCCTTGCCCTTAGTGCTGCCACTGATTATAGGAAACAATGCTTCACATGAACCTACTGTAGTTACAGGCCTACATAATGACTTATTCGGCATTATTTAAATATTTGGTAGTAATCCTGAAATGAACCAGGTTGAATATTATAGGCCTACATTAAATATAAAAATGTTTAGTATTATGTAAGAAAATAAGCTTTGCCTACTTTTAATTAAAATGAACGAGTGAAATTACATGTAAGCAGTATACCTTTTAACATTGTTTGATAGAATATTAATAAGTGAACACTATCCTATTATCCCACTATTTTTAAGCAGTGCCCATGGCACTTATTAATTTACAATGTATATAAAATCATATATTAAAAACTCATAATTTTCAACTTAATTAATACCAATGAGCCACTGCTGTATTTAATTTTATTTCTATGTGATAATTTTATCCATACAATTAAATAATTTAAAAATAAATAACAAAAATAGAATGAAAATATAAAAGGTCTAATTTCAATATCCAGGCACAACCATTACTTACTTTGTGCTAGATGTAAATAAACAAAAATGGTAATAATCAAAACGTGAGTGGGTCTATACTATAAATATAAACCACAATCCAAATTCAGATAAATTATGAATGATGATTTGTTTTTTATCAAAAAAGTTTTTTTTTAAATATTTTACTGAGTAAAAAATGTATTAACTATTTTTATTTATTTATTTTTATTTATATTCGACTTCACACAGTTGTTAATTATTAGGGTCTTTGAAGGGATAATACTTGCTGTTTTGGGTTGGTTAGTAAGTAGCTTATATATGATCAATCCAAAACTTCTATGACAATTCATCAACTGTAGAAATTGGGGGTTTTCAATAAATAAAAACAATTACAGCCCATGACAATGAGTGAAGATGATTGGTATTGTCTTTGTATAAATGAAATTACTTTAAAATTTGTTACTGAAAAATATTTATACAGCTATCAGGGGCGCTAATTTCAATATATGCCTTGAAAATTTAGTGGTAAATCTGGGGGGGGGCGCCCTACTGGATCCGCCCCTATCTATTTATTTTTATTATTTTTAATTATGAAAATAATCATAATTATAAAAATAATAATAATAATAATAATTTAATAATAAATAGTTATGCCATATAATAATGCCTTTTTTTCATTTTATGGCTTATTGTTTTTTTATTGGAATTACTTAGTTACATATTACATTATAATATTTTATTCAACTAAGATTTTTTAATAAAGTTGTTATTCACATTTTTATCTTCTTGTTCATAGTTAACTTTGATAGTTTTTAATCAATTTAGTATTTTAATTTCTTACTGAGAAATTGTTTGTTGGAAGTTTTTTTAAGATGAAGTTAACCACTCATTCTGAATCATATTTTCTATTTATCTTATTTCAGGTTTTTTTTTAGATATAAAGTAGTACTATATTTAATTACATTGAAATTAAAAGAATATCATATTGTTTGAACAGCTTATCTTCTGTCAATAACCTCTTTAAGAATGTAAAAATCCATCCACATAATAATGTGATCAATGACCTGCCCAATGACAGACTCAGTAGGCTTAGGCCTACAATTCATTTGCATATTTCACATATTAAATCAGTTATAAATTACAATAAAACCGTGAGTAAAATAAAAGTACAATAAAGTATAAAGCAACTAAAAAAACAATTTACACCACACTATTTATAAATTTATAACATGACCATAAATTACATTATTAATAAATTATACACTTAGTAGTAAAGGATATTATTATTAATATTATTTAAATGAACTTTTTTCTACTGTAAATATTTTGTATAAAGGCATTAGACAGGGCCTCTATACCTAAATCATCCATCAAAATAATTAAAAGTTCCCATCCATATTTATTTTACTCCGACTCCAATATGTTGAGTGTGAATCATCACGGTCAACAGTTTGTTTTGAAATGATTTATTCCTTTGACTGGACTAGCCTATCCATGTTCTGTATATATATACATAAATAATTAGCTGGTGCTACTTCAACTTTTTCTAAGGCCCAGAAGGATAAAGCCATAGGCCTACGTTTTTACAATGTGGCAAAGCAACTACGTAAGTGTACTACCTATCAACATGTACACGCAATTTCTCAGTTCAAAAATAATTCAACCCTCCCTGAATAGGAAGCGTTGAGCTGAAGTTAGCTAGCTCGGCTACCTGAGTCTGTCGAGAGACTAGAACCTAAAGAGAAATTCCCTATTCCCCTACCCTACCTAACAAATGATCTTGAAACTCCGAATGGGCACACTCGGTCACAGGGTTTCTATGAAAACCAGGTTGGTTACAACTGAAACACAAAATTTTACCGAACACCATGAATTTCGGCCGACAAAAGAAACGCACAAAATGGCGAAGCCGAAAGCATTGTGGGAGGTGAAATTTTCCCATGATTCTTTTCGACACTTGATTCGACAACGAACCATTGGTAATTCGCGGTTTCGCCTGCTCACGTACACAAAGCAAATTCCCTGCTGTTTCTATCAAATGGATTCGCCCAGATAATTCCATTCTCAAAACCGTATTTTGAAAGTGAAGGTTTTCCTGCATAAACTATGCTGTTTTACACCACATACAGTTATATTTTACAAATTTAATGTTTATAGTATTACTTTTATTTTGATATTTTGTGTTTCTATGTGTTAATTAGCTCATTAGAAATGCAGTACTCTATTATTCATAAAACAGTATTTACATTCCCCTTCAAACAAAATGAACTTTTCCTTCCAACTCGAGCCTGCTTCCTCGCTCGAGAGAGGTGCCTGGCTAGCCAGGCCAACCAGGCTTCCTGGCTGGTGGACTGGTGTGTGATGGTGTGAATGTTGTTGCATGGAGGAATTGTAAACATGGATGATTTTAAACATAATAAGTATTGTGATGGATCAGAAATATTGAATATTCAGACCTTTCCTCTTGAATTATTAGCACATGTGTTCAAGTTACTAAGTGGTTCAGATCTTGCAAGTGTTGCTCAAGTATGTAAACGCTTTTATGAGGTGTCGAATGTTGAAACTGTGTGGCAGACATTGTGTCTCAGAGGTAAGAAGACTGGCCTAGGCTAGATAGACAGATGGGCCTAGCTAGAGAGAGGCATACCTCCTTGGACCTAGTAGTAGGACATGTAGGCTATCTACTGACTGTAAGTAAAGCCACAGGATTGGTTTTGCTGCTACAGTACTGGCTGGAGTAGGTCACCCTAGCTAGAGTATGCCTGATGAAAACACTATAAAGGCCTCTGTAGTGCCCAACCAGTAGCACATGCATGAGACTGGGTGGGTGAAGACGTCCTGCCTGTCCTAGTTAATGAACCAAATCATGTGAAGTTTCAAGGACACCAAGATTATAATTGTTATTTTATTTTGAAATCAACAATAAATAATGAGTCATGAGTTAATTTGATGAGTCAACCTTTCAATGAATGGATCAATAACCAACCTGGTGGTTTGATGCTATACTTCCAGAATATACCAAGAACCCAACCAGTAAAGAAATAAAGGACGATAGCTGTACTTAATTTTGGCATATGGGCCTATTTTGCAATGACCTGTTTTTTTTTTTGTTTTTTTTGTTTTTTTTTCTAGATTAAGGGGTTTGAGAAACTCAATTTTTCTATTTTTGCCTAATAATGATGTGACTTAGTTTTATGGAGGGTTTATAATCTGTACTGTAGTAACTTGGGTATAAAATCCCACCCCCTATTTTACGGCCATTTTTACGTACCAGCCTACCCTCATTCAAGAGTCAAGAGTGTGGGATAATTTGAAAGAGCTGACATTTCCAATCACCCATACTCTAAAAAACAAAATTTCAACTTGAATTCATGCAGTGCTGAAAAAACTCCCCTTTGATTGAAAATGGGGATTTCCATCATAAGGCCATCCCAAAATTGGCCAAATTTTGTGTTGAAGGGGGATGGGCATATACCAGAGGAACTAAAGTAATTGGCAAGTTCACTTGTTCTTGTAAACAAATTTAAAATAATAACAAAACAAAAGTAAAATATTCACAAATATTTTGTTACTATTCCAGAATACAAATTTACATCGGAAGATTTCAACACATGGAATACAAGTTATAAAATCATTTATACTAAAGGTATATAAATTAACTTGCTTTGTTTGTATTATTGTTACTTTTACCTGAATTTTATAATTTAAACATGAGAGAGACATAATTGAAGTATAGATCTAATAGGAATTATATAAAGGTTAGAATTATATTGTCCATGAAAAATTACTAAAAATAACATGCCTTATTTCAGGGGACAATACATCATTAATGTATTTGCATTTATCAAGTCTTTTATTACCTTCTTAAACATATGTCCTTTATGTTACAAATAAATGTTTTGGTACCTGCCTTAAAACAAAGTTTATATAGTCCCCAACCATAAAAAGATTTTTTTTTATAAGGCATTATAGTACAGTACCTATTGATTCTTATGCTTTCCTCTCATCAGCTCATTGAGGCTGTCTTACCTGTGATACTGTATATAATATTAATTATTTATAATAAATTATATAGTATTAATTAGTAACAACCCAAGATGAAACAGTGTAGCAAATGATGATAGATATTATTGATATATTAGTATTATTACCATCATAATAATAATTATTATATTTATTAAGTTCTTAGAAAATATGGAAATTTGATTGGAACCTGGCAACCAAAGATCAATCCATATGGAGGGCTTCTATCAATCAAGGTGTGTACATAGAGATATAATAAGAATACTAGAGCGCTAACTGCAATGTATTCGATGTTCGAAATATGCAGAGCTGTGTGTGTGTGTGTACCATCCAAGATGGCTGCCATAGATTCAGCCAATCAAATTTCCCCTGAGCACTATCATTTTCAATTGCGCCCTCAATCTACACAGAAAGTTCAGTACAGCTAGTTACCCGTATTTTGAAACTCGAGCGTTGCGGTGTATGGGTGTAATGTACACGATTTTAATTCTTTTTAATATTTGAATAAGATGCTCTACTTGGCCTGTTTTTGGCTATGACAGTTTAATAATTTGTCATTATCAATACTAATTATCATTAATGAAATAATATTCAGTCAGAGGGCTTATTTATGTAATAATATGCATACTAAGCCTGAAGGTGGCGCTTTCCTACGGCAGCCATCTTGGATGGTACACATACACAACTCTGCATTGCTCCGCCATCTTGTCAGCACTCTAGTTGTTTAATAGCTCTATGGGTGTGTATCAGTATTGTAACGCATAGTGCATACAGTAGCTCGTGTGTATCGTCATTATCTACAGTACTTGTGGTTACTTAGTCAGAAAATATGGTATGACCATATCAAACTCCCAGTATCCGCTACATGAACGAAAATATTTGATATACACATTTTATTTCAAACATTGCTGCCATGATGCTGTTCATGTGTCATGGTGACGTGTACACTCATCAATTCGGTACTGAGCTGATGGGCGCAATAAAAAAAATTTTCTTGATCTGATTGGCTGCACATTAGTTGAATCATTTCGAATTTGCTGATGTGAACAACCACAAGCAAAGAAGTGAGCAATTAGGACTCGCGCATGAAAATTATACTGCGCATGCGTACAGTCAAACATTTTCAATTCGCGCGAAACAATTTGCATGGAAAGTCGGCTTAATTCAGCAAACGCTTTATTGTTTTGATCTGAGAATTTTTTTGTTGTAGTCCTGTCCTATGGGAGTACTCTTAAATATACTTCTTATTGAGTGTATAATACTCTCATTGCATTTCTCGAAAAATTTCTAAAAGAAAATACAATACCATTAATTATTAAATTTAGGAAATATAAAATTTTCAATTGTGTTTCAGTTTGATAAAGGAGCCATAATAGGAACCCAGTACTTTGCACCCCCAGACCCTAATGTTTGTGATCCTCTCAGAAAGAAAAAGGTCTTCAAAATCACAGTGGATGATGACAACATCACAAGGCTTTTATGCCTAAAAGGCAAACCCAGCAATGTGCACCCATTCCTTTTCACGCCTGTAAGTAGAACAATTTTTCTAACAGTCATTCATAGAATCAACAGATAAATATAACTATAAAAAATTGAAAACAAGAAGAAAACGAAATTTATATATAAATACTTAGGCAAAACTTATTTTATACCTAAGTATGTAAATTTAAAGCATTTAACCATTGCATTATTACATTGTTTAACATTCACCAATAAAATTTTATTTATAATTTCTTCTCCACCTGGATGGTTTTGGCAAAACTATTTGCTATATAAGAAAACAAAATTTTATTTTTTTTTATCCGCCCTCCTCTGACGACCTTAAAAAAAATAAGTTCGCAAAACAAGGTTTAACAATTAATGTCCAGCCTTACTATGTAATACTTGCAAATTGCAAGAATGAAGTATAATTTAAGTAATTCATATTTTTATTTTTATGATAATTTTGCTTACAGGGTGGAAGTATGGATGACTTTTCCTTTAAATGCTGTAAACCAGATAGACACAGGAAGGGCTCAAATAAACAAGAGGTTAGTTATTTTAACAAGTAATACACTTAAGTAAAATGCTTAAGTAAAACTTTTGTGATACGACATTCGCTGGAATAATTTGTTCATCAGCATTAGAAGTTCTAGTTAAGTTGAGATCAAGAAGGTGGTCAAAATTTACTTGTAATTATCTGGGTTCCGGGTGTGGCAGGAGTTTCTCGAAAGTCAGCATGATGTACCACGCTCCCACTATTAAGTGAAAATCTCTGGAAACTAATCCTTTTGTCATGCATTCATGATGTTTGAATGTTCTTACTACTCAATTGTATTGACTTCATAAAGACAGCTGACCATAGGTATCACCTAATATATAATTTAATTTATTAAGAAAGCTCATTAAACCAGATCTTCTGGAAGTGCCTTTTCCCTACCTGAGACAAAAGCTGTCTCAGTCCCTACTTGGAACACCCCTTCCCCCCCCCTCCCGCAAAAAAAAATGTTATCATTATCAACATTGTAATCATTGTTGTTTCCTATGCTGTAAAGCAATAGGAACCATTGCAATGGCCTGGAAGTTTTCATCCACACGCTGACGTAATCAAATTCACAGGAGATGTAAACAAGCAAACTAGAATTTCCAAACACCTGTTTGTTATGAATTTTTGCATAATGTGTAGTATTGGCTGCAATTTTGCCCTATTCCTTGAAAAAATGTTTGGATAAATATTAAAGCAATAGACAAGAACTTTATTACACCCATCCATCCAAGACCCATATTATTTTATTTCAGGAACTGCAGCAATGGATTCATGAAGAGCTAGGCATTGACATTTTACCATGTGCAGTTGATTACAGACTTGAACTTCTCAGGATACAATTTTTCATTAATATGCAGTTTGAGTAAGTTTTTTTTTGGTTCAAATTTATTAAAAAGAGACAAATGACAAGTTTGTTAATTTTTGCAGAAATTTGTCATTTATATGGTTCCAAAGGAAAATATTGTATGGAGCTAGCAGGTATGAAGATTATTTGAAGTTTTGAAGGATATATATATATTATACCCCCTATTTTACACCCAAGTTTACATACCAGCCTTCTCCTGCTGGCCTAGAAAAGTCACTTGTATACCCATTAACACTACAGCATAGTACACACTTCTTATCACTTTCTCCACTCATCCCAACATCCTATATCAGCTTTCCAACCAGCATCATATATGGCATTAGTGATAGGAATAATAACAATAAATTAGTATACCTGTCCATAATCAGTCTTTATTCAAAACCTATTCTTCCGGGTTCCTGATGCTGTCTGTGCCTGTTCAATAGAAAACTTCAAAAACATTGACTATTCTGGTCCAAATGTCACAGAAAGAGAGATAGGGAATCAGTTGTGACCTCAGAGCTTCGGCTTTGACTTTATTTTAAGCTCTGTCCACACTATGAAATTGTAGGTGACAAACTAATGTGACAACACAAATTTGTCACATAGAATCTGATAGTGTAGATGGAGCTTTACTGGTGAAGTTCTAAGTACAGAATCTTGTCACTTCAAATGTTGTACTAAATTGCCAAGTAATTTTTTTTTTTTCATCAGTGCTTCATGTAACTTCAGACGGCTGCATATTCCAACAGGGAAGGAGGCTAACCAGCCAGTTCAACCGGGTCTTTACAAAGGAACATACGGAGGTCACGGAATTGAATTGGTGATGGTCTCCTACCATGGCAACAACTTACATGGCGTCAAAGTGACGGTGAGATTAATTTTTATTGTTTTCATTTCTTGGAATTAAATATTACTATGAATGTGTATTTTTAGTATTAAGGAAAACATTTTTTTTTCAAATTTCATCCCCTAGCCCTACTATCTAGTCCTACTATCTTGCCTTAATTCCATTTTCCTGATGATTAAAGGAAACTAACTAAACTAATAAGTCACCAAGTTTTACCCATCCCAGCAGTTTTTGCCTTAAAAATTAGACTACAGTCTAGTAACAAACATTTTGTTGATGTCCAACCCACCTTGAAAGCCTTCTAGAATTCAATTATGATTATGGCACATCTAGATGGCCGGAAATGGCACTCTCATGCTTAAGTCTGAATGTAATTTTCTTTTTTTTTTCTATATTTTTTTTATAATTTTAAAAAAATTAGGGGGGAGGCCGGCTAGGGTCGTCTTTAAATCTGTCACTGACAATTGATCACATGTTATCAAATTAGACATACTTTTAACCAACCATCTAAGTGTTACTTTGTGGCAGTGCCAATAGGGTTACATTAGGGAATTCTGTTCCCCATGGACATACATAGACCTCCTTTGCTAATTCAACCATAGAAAGGTATTGTGGTTGCAGTACATATATTCAAGATTTAAGATTTCTTTATCTTCCAAAAAAGGACATTTCTAGCGGGAACATTTTCATTTCAATAAATAAAAGCACAATTTTTACCAATCTAAACCATTAAATCTCTTTGCCCTTGTCTGGAGGCCCTTAGCATGTCTGACCCCTGACCCATGCTGTCTGGCAGAGTCCAGTCGACAAATTTCTGAAGCCACCAATGCTGTTACTAAACCAACTTCTTTCGTACAGGGAGATCCTAACGTACCAGCAGACCAGCTAAGCATTCAAGCTCACATGAACGAGCCCATGGTACTGAACACAAGCGATCAGCATTCTTTGTCTGAACTGGAAGCACTGTCCAAAGATAATGTACTCTTGCCAAGTGACCAGAGGAAAGCTAGGCAACCGTTTATTGTCCCTAGAGACGTGATGGATAGAGGAATGTCAAAGGTTAGCGAAAGGATAGATTTGACGCATTGTATAGGAAGGTACGATATGTCATTTTTTTTATTAGAGGTTGAAAAAAAATTAATGATTTCATGGTTTGTGTGGTCAATCGTAATAATAACAATAGAAATATTATAATATTATATTTTGAGTCAGCAATATTTTAATTAAATAATAACATTGATTTAGCAATTTTGTAATTTTTAGTTACTGTGGTTTTTTTCTTATATATAGCGCCTTTTGCTTTTAGTTTGCTAAAAAATGAAGTACCGTAGTTATGAATTTCCTTAATCTCCCAGCTAGCTCCAACTCATTTTCACTTCCCCCCACCCAGTACTCAGAGATATGCCACTGATGAATAACCATGTTTTTCCTTGGTCATTGAATCTATGAACAAAGTGCAACCTCTGCTGTCCCTGAAAAGTATTCATCCCCACCCAATTTCATTCAAATTCATTTACCTACCAGGTGCCCATTTATACTGCTGGATGAAGGGAGACAAATGTAATGTTTTGGGACTAGTATCAGGCTTGAACCTGCTGCGCAGCCTCTCAGTATAAAGCCCAAAATCTTAATGCTGAACCACATGCTTCTACTAATAGATAAATAAATGAATAATTATTTTCTTCATTTCTTTATATTTTTAACACAGGTACTTTGCTACAGGCTTGATTGCGATGGACGGCTTTAAGAACCCTTCCCGCACACCTTCTCACTTTATCGTATTCAACGAAAACATGTTCGCAATGCTTTGGATAGAGCTTCATTCCATTAGTTTGTACTGTAGAGTGGAAGAAGAGTTGATGTGAATGTGTGATTGTATCTATTTAATATTGTTTCCATTGCAATTGGTTAAAATCATAGCAGAATGTTGATTTAGTCAACTAATTAGTTGTACAGTAAACCAATAAATTCTATAATAATGTATAACTTATTGTATACAAATATCAATTTAATATTATTAAATAATTTTTTTCTATTAATACCTATTTATAATATATATATAGTAAATAATAATGCTATATTAATAATATATTCTATTGGTAGCTGAATTCGAGTCAGTAGGCCGAAACATTTTAATTTAAAATAATTATTTTTTGTTGGTATTACCAATAATATTATATAATTTGAATTGATCAAATTTAAAGTAATATATACTATTGCAGAAGTGAAGGAAAGTTATGCGACGCACAAATATATAAACAGTGACAGAAAAAGTTTCATCATCGACCATGTCAAATGGCCAAGCGGTGACCATGTCAAATGGTCAAGCGGTGACCATGTCAAATGGCCAAGCGGTGGAAGCAGAGGCACTGCAACCTATAGCCCTGATGGGGAGCTTTTGATTGGACTTAGAACGTAATGACATCACTAAGAAATTATCTGTGCATGTGAGAAGATTGAGTTCTTGTCGCATCTGCGTTTTGCAGAGAACAGAGGATGTTCACGAATATTTGAATCCGTTCTAGCAGTACGGTGTGGGACAAATCAAAGATACTAGAAATACAAGATAGAGTTCTCGCATTGTAAACATGAGGCGGAAGTCGTGCCCAACGTAGGCGGCGCCCTTCTTTTTAACCATGCAAGTTTCCTATACTTCGTGCCCAACGTACAGGGCGCCCTTCTCTCTGTATGGCGTGTGTTACTATTAGCTCGCATGGATATAACTCTCTTTACTTTTTTCTCTTTCTTTCTCTTTCCCCTGGATATGTAGAGTTTTTGTAGCATTGCCGCCATTTTATCAGCTTGTTCTTGACCATATTCTTGACTCCAACGATTCACATGCCTTATTGCTTCAGATGGAAGCTGTCCTTTGGCCCTGTCTCTTATACACATCTAGATGTGTATAAGAGACAGGGTCCATACAGCCCCTTGTGTGGACAGACAAGAGAAGTTGGCACTGCTCAGATACCAAGTGACCCTTAATGGAAAAGGAATTACTGTACGAATTAGCCTACACCTTGAGCACTTAAAGATTTTGGTATAAACCGCTATATAAACCTAACTACATTACACACAGTACATTACATACAACTTGAGCTTAAACTTAATCTAATGTATAAATATTGCTTTTTTATTAAAGAGTAACATAGGCATTCTGTAAATAGGATGAATTATTTGGTATTTTAGAGCTATGTAATTACATATATATTTTAAAAATACATATTTTCATAACGGCTCATTAAGACTTAGATTGAGATTTGCATCTATATGTTGGTAAATCAAAATTTATTTTAATATATTTATCAATTTTTGTAAAGAATTTGTGAAACTAACTGTTTTGCTGTTTTTCCACAATGGACAGCTTCTTCAGAATAGATTGAAGTCATCAGTATGATCCTCTCATTAGACAGAACTGGCCTGTAGTGGAACCATCAATGTTACTTTCACAAATTTTTGCTTTGAAAAAAAAAATTAACTATTAAACGTCTTAATGCCTGTCTCTTATACAATTCAACGAAAACATGTTCGCAATGCTTTGGATAGAGCTTCATTCCATTAGTTTGTACTGTAGAGTGGAAGAGGAGTTAATGTGAATGTGTGATTGTATCTATTTAATATTGTTTCCATTGCAATTGGTTAAAATCATAGCAGAATGTTGATTTAGTCAACTAATTAGTTGTACAGTAAACCAATAAATTCTATAATAACGTATAACTTATTGTATACAAATATCAATTTAATATTATTAAATAATTTTTTTCTATTAATACCTATTTATAATATATATATAGTAAATAATAATGCTATATTAATAATATATTCTGTTGGTAGCTGAATTTGAGTCAGTAGGCCGAAACATTTTAATTTAAAATAATTATTTTTTGTTGGTATTACCAATAATATTATATAATTTGAATTGATCAAATTTAGAGTAATATATACTATTGCAGAAGTGAAGGAAAGTTATGCGACGCACAAATATATAAACAGTGACAGAAAAAGTTTCATCATCGACCATGTCAAATGGCCAAGCGGTGGAAGCAGAGGCACTGCAACCTATAGCCCTAATGGGGAGCCTGTGATTGGACTTAGAACGTAATGACATCACTAAGAAATCATCTGTGCATGTGAGAAGATTGAGTTCTTGTCGCATCTGCGTTTTGCAGAGAACAGAGGATGTTCATGAATATTTGAATCCGTTCTAGCAGTACGGTGTGGGACAAATCCAAATCACCGTATTATTGGCATATGGGTCTGGTAGGATCCTCTCAAATGAAGGAGATGAAGACTGTATTCTGTAGGCTCAGACTACACAATTGGCTCATGTACACTATAAAGTATATCTTTCAAAATGAGTAGGGGGTTACTCTGGGGTACTGGTCCATACAGCCCCTTGTGTGGACAGACAAGAGAAGTTGGCACTGCTCAGATACCAAGTGACCCTTAATGGAAAAGGAATTACTGTACGAATTAGCCTACACCTTGAGCACTTATAGATTTTGGTATAAACCGCTATATAAATCTAACTACATTACACACAGTACATTACATACAACTTGAGCTTAAACTTAATCTAATGTATAAATATTGCTTTTTTATTAAAGAGTAACATAGGCATTCTGTAAATAGGATGAATTATTTGGTATTTTAGAGCTATGTAATTACATATATATTTTTAAAATACATATTTTCATAACGGCTCATTAAGACTTAGATTGAGATTTGCATCTATATGTTGGTAAATCAAAATTTATTTTAATAAATTTATCAATTTTTGTAAAGAATTTGTGAAACTAACTGTTTTGCTGTTTTTCCACAATGGACAGCTTCTTCAGAATAGATTGAAGTCATCAGTATGATCCTCTCATTAGACAGAACTGGCCTGTAGTGGAACCATCAATGTTACTTTCACAAATTTTTGCTTTGAAAAAAAAAATTAACTATTAAACGTCTTAATGCTTAATGTTCACAAACCAGATGAATATTTTTCAACTAGGTAAAGAACTTTTATTAAAACTTGGATCAATGTTTTTTTGATGTTTGTGAACTGATTGTCATTTTAATTTAAAGATGGATTTTTATTATTTGTGGCACCACAAATGTATATTAAGTTATTTTTTGTAGGGATACAATATTTATAATTTTATTTATGTATGTCTTGCATCTATGTCTTTGTTAAGCAAATGCTTATACTAAACAAAAATTTTATTAACAATATTTTTATTGTTCATATTCCATGCTTTAGTGTATCAGATTTTTATTCCTGGTCGTATTTTTGATATTGCATGCGATATTCATTCATTTATGGTTCAGCAAATTAATATTTTAGTGCGAGTGCTGTCTGAAGGCGGAGAATCCAAGCTTGTCCACAGGGGAATTCCCCTTCCCAACAGCATGTTTGTGACTGCTATTGGCCCTCCACGGCTCTACTCTCATTTTTTTTCAAGTGTACATTTTATGTCTGTTGCATATTGTATGATACATCTGATAGGGTCTTCAAAATAAAGAACAGAAATCAGTCATGTTCAATTAAAAAATAATTTATTACAAATTTTGTTTTCATTCAATGAATGAAATGTATGAAAATATAATATTCAAAATGAAAAACTATTCAATAGCAGCTAACTTCTTCCGTTACAAGCCAGTATAAACACTATTTGTCGTAAAAACACCAATATAATATTTTTATCTGTTTAAAAAAGTTGTTAAATAATTTCATGTTAATAACAATTGAACTGAGTTGTGATTATACAGTTGCACCATTTGATTTATTACCTCCGCCAAGGAGGTTATGTATTCACTGCTGTCTCTTAGCAAGTTTATGCAGAAACAGATGAATGGAATGATATGTAATAATCAAAGAAAGACAACATTCAATTTTCAGAAGGAAAGGTCAAAGTCACAGAAATTCAATTTTTACCATCGAGCATAAGAGAAAATAATGTAATCGCCCTTGTATTCGGGCAGCACTAAAAAAAAAACAATGTGCCTGAATACGACAGGTGATTCCATTATTTTCTTGAAGTTATGCTGCAATTTCGCCCATTATTTGTGTTGTTGGTACTATATTCAAGTATAGGGCGAGGTATGCACTGTATAGAGTGATTGCTTAAGTATATTTATTACACTAGTATTCTATATAATAACATGGCTCAATATTATTATAAAACACTGTAGCAGTAACAGCTAGATCTGCTGAAAAGGGGAACGGGGATCGTGGATCGTATCATAGTTCCTTTAAAGTAACTCTTTTATGATATTGCCTCTCTGTATGGCGTGTGTTACTATTAGCTCGCATGGGTATAACTCTCTTTACTTTTTTCTCTTTCTTTCTCTTTCCCCTGGATATGTAGAGTTTTTGTAGCATTGCCGCCATTTTATCAGCTTGTTCTTGACCATATTCTTGACTCCAACGATTCACATGCCTTATTGCTTCAGATGGAAGCTGTCCTTTGGCCTTCTTATCTACATCCTAAAAAATCGAATTAAGGTTTGAATTAAACACAGGTATATTAAATAAAATGTTAAATATCCTATTAAGTTATATATGTATTTAAAAAATTTGTTTAATTCCAATTATTAAATTATGTATGACAATAATGACATCTCGTTACTTATTTAAGAGTTTGAAAGTCCAACTTGCAATTGAAAAATTACAGCTGGTAGAGCATAAGTGAAGTTAGTTGAACACAAATATTGGGGGAATCGGAAGAGAAAATAAAATGCTAGTACTGTAGTGAAATAATGAGAATATGACTGAGACTAACACTAGAACAATTTATTTTTCAAATGAGAGTATTATACCAAAACTGTTTTATAAACATGCTTGAATAGTGGTATTAACCTTGGTCTTCTTTTAATGTGTTAATAATTATTGCAGTGGACCTGATCTATCTTTTTTTCATTGGAAATCTACACTACTGAACTGAGCTAGCCCAATTTATATGGTACACATGCAGACCATTAATCCATTGAATCACATGACTACCTCATGATTTTATGGGACTGCTGTCCAAACAAGTACTGTAATGAGGTTTGTATTTGTAACAACCAGCATGTGGTAGGCTGTGACCTAGATGAAGTCAGCATCGTAGCAGGCAATTTGACCTTTAACATTAAATTTCAGGCTCATACTAGTAGCGCAGGGCAACTCTAGTGTCGAGCTGCACCTGTTGGTAAGCCTAACCTAACACTTCAGGCACAGAAAAAAATGGTATTGAAAATGGGAGAGTAATGCAAGTTAAAATTTCTATTGTTATGTAGTCCGATTAATTATGATGGTACTGATAAGATTTTCGCAACTTCTCCAAGCCCAAAATAGTGAATATGGAGCGCGAGTCCACAATCAAAACTGGTGCTATTAATAAATTTTACTACGTTTCTATCTTTTGAAGGCTCACATTTTGACTGTGGTAGAAAATATATTGAAAAATTAGCCATTTCCAATATGAAATTGAACAATATTTTCTATTTTCATCGAAATTATATTTCTAAAATCAATATATATATATATATATATATATATATATAGTATTATGCACATATATACATATATATGTATATATGCACATATATACATACACCTATTATATTATAGAGAACTAAACAGATGCACTTATGTACGTCATTGAGAATCTATCCATCATAATGTATGGTTTCCATAGATAACAGCATTTACTGTAGTAACCATAGCAACTAGATTCATAATTATTATTGCAGAAAGAGGTTGGCTATAGTTATTGTTATGTTTCTTTTATTGAAAAAACATTAAAAAAAGAACATAAATAGATGCAATGATTTCTCATAGTTAAGAAGAACGATGTTGGAATGCTAGAGCATACTATTTTTGAATGAACAATGAATAAATACTTCATAAAATTTCCTGGGAAATGACTTAAAGATTAAAACATTTTCTATGCTCAAGCATTGAATGATAAATATAATTTAGATAATCGGTTAATGATAATATGATGAACTAAATATTGTAATACAGTAATTTATTTGTGTCAATTCACCCTCCCTTTCTTGTAATTGTAAATTTCCTCCATAAAAAGGCCTATAAAGTACAGGTTATACATAAATTTCTATACTGTATTCACTATCCATGCAGAATATTTTATATTTATTTATTTATTTTATTTTACACACTATTGTAAGCCTTTGAATCAATCAAATTCAACCTACCCTAAGACCAGATCCTTTTTGGGTCTGAATTCCGAATGTTGGTGATGTCTTTTTCTCACTTGATTTCCGACCAATAGGTGGCGCTGTCTGTGCACGCTTATGGATAGATCTACTTGATTTTGCTGACCTGTCATTGAGATTTGTATCATTGTTGAGAAATAGTAAAAACTTTGATTTTATACGGACATTTCTGGATCCGCCCTTGATTATAGTTTACTTCTGTCCTGTATATGATGGATAACACATGGAAAGTTTCCATCCCTAATACTATTATTCAAACACAAGGTAACCCAAGAGAAAGCAACTTAAAATGGACCAATATTACTGGGTTTAATTACTGATTTTTCTATAACTGTACCTGAAAATTTCTCTTTTACAACCACTCGATCTCCAAGCTTGATCCAGTTATGGACAAAGGGTTTAACAACTTTCTCCTTCGGAAGACAAAGAGGAGGATTCATATAAATATAGTTTCTTCCCCCATTGATGAGTGTCTTGTAGAAATTGCGGCAAATGGAACAACGGCAGTTGAACTCATCATGAAAAATTGGATGTCTCTGGAAAAGATAAAAGCAATTCATATAAATGAAGCTCAACAAATTTGCACACATAACAATAACATAACATGATCAAAAAAGAATAATCATGAAATTAACAACTAACATTAAATGCAAGTACAGGCCTAACTAGGCCTACAGTAGAGCATTAATAGGTCTACTCGGCTAGATCTGATCAGGCCTCAGGTAAGAATGTAAATCTTGGTTTTTTCATATTTTCCATTCATTTATTTTCATAAACCTTCCTACCGGAGAGCTGATCTTAAAATTATAGGCTAGGTCAGTATAAATAACAGTTTAACATATATACTGACTTTTTAGCAAGAAGGACTTTTATTAGGTCTTTATTAAGGGGTACCATGATGGGCCCATCATCATAGCCCTACCACCTACCTGTCCTATGTGATGACGAGCAGAAGAATTTCCCTTGTGGAACAATAAAGTTCTTATCTTATCTTATCTTATCCTCTCAGCGTGACCACTTACAATTTTTGATACCCAATGACTGGGTCGAAATTACCCAAGATTCAGCAAAAATTGCCCAAAATTACCCAAGCTTCCTGAAAATGCATTAAAATTTGAAAATTACGTGTTTTTGCATGTATAGTTTCCCGTATAGTTTCCCTTTTAGTACAATTTATAAACCATTTTTTATTGTAATTGTTTGTTAATTATTAAAATTAATATCCATGATGTAATAATACGGATAGAAAAATACGCCCTCAGTCGGCCAGTGTTATCAGTGTAGATCAGTGATCAAGTTTTATTATGTAATGCATTAATTAGGTAAGATCAATGGCAACGCAAATCACAAATAAACAATTCTGAACCCAAGTTTATAGCAATAGTCAATTAACAATGTTATGTGCACTTCGTTGAGTTTTGCTTACTTGAATCGTAGAGCTCTATGCCTGACCGTTACAAGAGGGGAAAAACCTTTAATTTTTAAGAACTTAAGAGTCATTAAAAGACACCTCAGAAGTCAAGAAACAAAATTTTCCCGAGGGGGGACCCCGGCCCCCCTTGCTTCTTGGGGTTTACTGTATCGATTCATGGAAAAGCAGTGGTCACGCTCGTCCCTCTTATTAATTATGTATGTGGACTGTTGTATCTCACACGGCTAGCCTACCTTACCTAGCCTAGGATACAACTTTACGAGTTCTTACCGTTGTTATTTGGAAGACTATTATTATAAACTTAAATATATCTTACCGAATGTTCGGATCTACCGGATTTCTTTGGTGATGAAATTTCTGTTTGTCTACCAACTTTTACCGCAGCTTTCATGTTGCTACGACGCTCTCTCATCTCTCTCCACATAAAATAATAAACATTAGTGGTACTGCTACTATCCGAAAAAAGTGCAGTCCACAACGACATCAAAATGGTTTACTAATTGATCGATTCATCTATATATCGATATATGATGACTGATTGAATGTTTTCCATGTGTTTTTGCAACTTTAAAGTTTTCAGGGGGCCTACTATAGTTAAAGATTCAAGCAACTTTATTGTCTGTATAGATAAATACAATATAATTAGAAAATTTAATTACTCGGCAAGATTACACCAAATTACATGTTCAATGCCAAGAAAATAATGTTTATATCTTAAATTAAACATCAAACAATAAAGGGAGAATAAAAACTTTTAGAAACTTTAAAATACAGTAAGACTTTAAAAATTGATTAACTGTTATTATTAACTTTGTTCGAACAGTAAACAATACGCAATCACATGAATGAAAAAGATGGATCATGAATGTATGGCTCAAATGAGTTTCTTATTTTTATATATTATTTTATGTATATTTCGTATGTAACAAATAAGAAGGAGTCATTAAAATACCAACAAATAACACATTTTAATTGTCGTACAATAGGGGGAAAAGGATACATCCATAGGACTTCTTCAGCCCATCTTTTGGCCAATCATATTCAATTTCTTGTAAAGCCAATAAAATGAATTTTTTCTGCTGTCAATCAATCAAATCATAAGGTGCCAATATTTATGGCCGAATACAATGTCCAATGGCCAATATATAGGGGGTGCAGGGGCACACTCCCCCCAAAGTTACTCACGCCTCCCAAAAAATTACTCGATCCCCACAGTCGCCCCACATAAGTAATTAAAAATCACCTAAAATCACCTTATTTTACTAATTAGCCCCTTAGCACTACCATTTCAAGACTTCTAGATACGCACTGCCAATGGCGATAGACGCCACTGACATTTGTCAACAAAAACTGCACCTAACAAAATCAATGTCTTAAAAAGAATGTTAACATTTAGATATTAAGTTATAGCTTATTCTCACAGTTAATTATTTTCATTAGGCCTTCCGTACTGTAGCCTGTTATTATTATTTTAGATTTGGATGATATTCTGTGCATTATTTTCATGTTTATGGTCCTTGTGGATGGGCTAAATTGGAACAATCTTTAACATATTATGTTTTCCCTCAATATTTTTTTCGTGCATATTACCGTACTCGCGCAAATAAGCGCCCCGTTTGAATAAGCGCCTGTCTCGAATAACCGCCCCTCCTAATGTGAAAATTTCCTTAAGCGCCCCGTTTGAATAAGCGCCCACTTCTAATTTGAATAAAAATAATTCCATAATATATTCTTTTTAGCAAATCAATAATCCAATCAATCCTGGAACTGTGGTTGTTGGCATGATTTGAGCTGCAGAGTGGAAACACATTCTTCATAGGTCAATATCAAAATGAATATATTAGGCCCTATATGTCTATGCCTAGTCTTACTCCTCTTTTTCTTTTTCCGATCTTTAGCACATTCTCATCGAAGTTTTCAAGAAAAAATACAATGATGCCATCCTGCTAATCTCAATCGGCCGATGGCCAACAAGCTAACCCCTACCCACCATCACTAATTGCATCTACTATTTGACTAGTCACTATTATGACATTCACGCATTCTTGTCATGAGCCATGTTCTCTGGACGATTATTTTTCCGCCTAACCACCATTCGTAATGTCCTTAAATAATCTCTTTTCATTCAAAAAGTGCCTCTTGAATTTAATAATTTTCCGTAAGAACCTGTCGATTTTCATTTATTTCCATAAGCGCCCCCTCAATTTCCACTCTGTTTTCACAAGCGCCCCGTTCGAATAAGCGCCCAGTTTGAATAAGCGCCCATGAGAAAGTGCAAAAAAATAATTTAAGCGCCCGGGCGCTTATTCGCGCGAGTACGGGTACATCGACATCGAGTCACTCTACAAGGTTGATAATGAGCAAATTATTAAACATTTTTGATTGACGGATAACCATTTGTACAACCTTTGCCGTTTAAGTAAAATTGTAGCCCTGATTTGCTGTCGAGTTCATTGTTGTTCACTTTGGAAAATTTCATAGCTATTACTGCATTATTTGTTGCCACTATGCGTATGATATATATGATGGAGAAAGAGTAATAAGACTGTTAGTCGATAAGCAATAAATACTGCACTAAAGAAAAATAAATAAGAAATATAGGCCTATAAACATTGATTAAAATTATATATATTGACGTTTTTCCTTGTTTTTCTTTCATCTTTTTGTATTTTATCTGTCTGTGTTTTTTCTGTGTATAATGTTTTCTGTAAAAATGATTTTATGCAATAAAGCGAATTGAGAAGAAAAGAAAAACATTCTCTTCTTTCTTTATTAATCTGTGGTTAACATGCTATTTGAGGGCGCTATAGCCCCTCGTGTACGTACGTAGTCGTCAAATATACAACATGGCGGGTAAGTACTGCTTTAGAATCGTCAGTTCCGCATTTTTAAAATGACATTCATTTGTAAAACCATTATGTGATATTTCATAAAACCTTCATTACTTGTTACTTCACAGACTACAATTTGCTCGGGCTGGGGATGCGAATTGATTCGCAAGATTGTAAGTATTGAATTTATTGTGACTTTGATGGGCGTATGAATGAAACTAAAAAATTTGATGCCGCAGCGGCGTAGGAGTGTGAAGGTACGACGTTCGACTCCACTTTTTTGGGGCCATAGCAGAGTGACATGAAACTTGAAAGCCATGGATTAACTTTAGTAATCCTCTTGCGTTCCGTAGAGACTTAGAATTAGGCTACTCTCAATCACCTAAATATATTCTGTCATGTTTGGTGTTGACTATGAAATGAGAATTAAAACACTGTTGTTGATTTTGTTGTGGGAATTGCGGTGACAGTTCCGTTGTCTTGTGCACTTTGATGTGTATTTGCCTAAATGAATGTATGTACAGTATATGTGTAGTAGTAGGGCTAGCTTTACTAGGCCTAGACCTATAAATGCAGTGAAACAGCAATATCTCTCTTGACCCAAGTGATCACCTTATGCAGCTATTGTTATGTAAACCCATTCATTTCAATGGTAGGCCTATAATAGTTAAGATATTGACATTTGAATGTACGCTGGCCAGTAAATTTTTTTTGCTGTACGTTATCTTTGACACTCATTGAAATGCATGTGTGACTATCTGTGGCTGCAGGCTAAATAGGCCTAGGCCTATCTAGCCTGCAAATTTTATTTGTTCCTATAGGCCTCTTACAGTACACAGCACTCACTACCCAGTCCCAACCACCAATTACCCAAGCAAGCCTGTACTGGGCTACTTAAAAAGCAAATACCAATGGCTTTACAGTATGTTAAGGTTGAATTACTTTATTCAACCATATTTCACAACATCCAATTGATACATCTCAATTTCATTTCAGCAACATTTATTTCTTTCATCTTTCTTTGAGATATATATATATATATATATATATATATATACTATATATATATATATATATATACTGTATATATATATATATATACTGTAT